TTTCCCTCACTGTCAAAGAAACACCAAGATAGACCCAGTTCAAAGGAGGGAGACAGCTTCAGCTCACAGCTTTGGAGGTTGCAGTTCACAGTTTCCAGCTCTATTGTTTCTGAGCTAAGAGAAGCAAAGGCTTCATGACAGAAGGACAAGGGTCAGGAAGCTGCTCTCATTGGGGCATCCAGTAAGCAGAGGGGACCGAGCCAGGTCAGGGGGTGCCCCCAAGGGCACACCTCCGTGGACTACTTCCCTCAGTCAGGCTCTGCTTCTATGTCTCTGACATGTCCCTACATAGTAGTACCATCCAGGGGACCATACCTTCAACATGTGAACCCGAGAGAGGGACAGTTCACACTCAAGCCAGACAGTCATGAAGTACAGAGAACATTCCAGAGGAAAGGGAGTTTTGAAAAGTCAAAAGAAAATACAGAAATACAGGCAGGCCTCTTGTCTCATGTTTTCTCTTACTGTCTTAGCCCAATCTTGCCGAATCTCATGATTTACACGATATTAGTGTTGGTATTGTGCAGGAAAGTTGATTTTCCCAGTTCAGCACATGGATACTTCCATCATCAGCTGGCTCCCAGACGGAGCATCAGAGCTGAGTCCTGGCCGCCCAAGTGCCATGCAGCTTGTCAGAGCTGCAGCGAGGAAGATCTGCGGCCAGCATGACATACACAAAAGTTGACCAAATCCTCCTGCTGAGACGATGAAGGCCTCAGCAAGGCCAGCTCCCTCTGAAGGCACTGCTAGTGACCAGTCTGTACCACAACTTTCTTCTGGATCCTCCAAATCCCTTCACGATGGGGACGTAGCTCCAATCCCCACATGATCTTCCTCATGTGCCCAGCTGTCTCCACATCTAAATGTTTCCGTCCTCCTGAGGCTATCCTTCACATTAGAGTAGGAACCCAGCCTCCTTGTCAGTTCATCATAACTAATTACCTCTCAAGGACGGTGTTTCCAAATGTCACACTCTGAGGTGCTAAGAGTTAGGCAGTCGGCATCAGATTCAATGCAGGGACACACAGAATTCTACGCACCACTGTGTGAGTTTCCCCCCATGCGACCAGTGCAAGAAATTCGTCTGGTTCTCCCTGTGTGCCAGGCACCTCCTTCCCAGCTCCTCTCAGCTACGTTTCCCTTCATAGGCCTGTGACTTATTTCACATGTTTATTCCTTTTGCTGAGCAACCACAGTCATTTCTCAGTCTTGACTAACAAGACAGCGAGATACAGCAGGCACAGATGTCTCCAAATCTGCTTTGTGTAGTGTCTCAGATTCCCAATGAAGACCAGTGGACACACAGTAGGTTTTCTCATATTATGGCTTAGGTCCCTAGAAGCTGTGTGTTAGCCCTGGTTGCTGGACAGTGTTGCTGTGGGGAGGTGGTACCATCTAGGAGACGGGCACCTATGTTAGGTTCTTTTCTCATTGTGGTGACCAATGACTTGACACTAAGAGAGGAAGGGTTTATTTGGATTCACAGTTTGAGGGCCTACAGTCCATCATGGTGGCAGATGGCTCGACAGTGGCAGGTGTGTGTAGCTGGGACCCTCACCTTGGATCTTGGAGGAAGAAGAAACAGAGCAGATTGGAAGTGGACATGGGCTATAAAACCTTAGTTCCTAATCTCAATAACCTGCTTACTCAAGTGAGGCATTAACTCCTAAAGGTTTGACAGCCTTCAGAACAGCGCCATCAGCTGGATACCAAGCATCCAAACCCATGAGGCCATGGGGGACATTTTCACATTCCAACCCACTACAGGTAGAACAAAAGGAAGTTAGGCCAGCGAGAACATCCTTTAAATGGGATGCTGGCCCTTGCTCTCTCCCACTGTTCCTCAGTACAGCTCTCAGCGCAGAAGCCTTGTGCTCCTGGACAGCACGTTCACTCAGGAGCCTGCATCTATCTTATTGGAAAAGGTGCGGCATTTCGTGCCTACCTTCCCAGTTGTGGGAAAGAGAAAACAGCAACCAGAATCCTGGGAACTGTCAGCAAATGCTATCCTCCACTGTCAGCGAATTGCAGGGCACTTCAAAGTGGGAAGGTGACCACTGTCTCTTTCTGGTGTCTAGGGTTTCTACACAGGCAAAGCAGGATTCAGGCCCTGGTTGACCAAGATGAGCAGACCTGGCTGGACTTGGTCCGTCTGTGGGCAACCATGTGACGGTGAGGTGGTGAACCTGGTTGTTGCTGTCCTTTGAGCACAGGTGTGAACTGTTTTCTCTAAGCGGTGGGCAGGCCAATTCCCAGTCCACAGAAGTGCTGCCCTGACGTTCTTTTCTGGTCTGGGGATCAGGGAAGTGGAAGGGAGAGAGATGGACTTAAAGGATGAAGTGCACACAGGAGAGAAGGGTGTTTGAGATGAGCAAACAGGCAGGTTTCCTTTTAATTAGGAATGAGATTCCCTGGGCACATTGTCCTCTGTCTCCTGATTTTTTTTCCAGATGTGCTTGTTGCCAGAGGACTGTTGAGATGGTTCCGACATAGACAGGTGTTAGTTACTGTGCTCAGTACTAACTCTCCATAGTTCCATGCCAGGGGGCTCTGTCCTGGCAGGTTTAGAACCTAGGTTCCCTCCCTGGTCCTCTACTGATCCTGGCTCCCACTCTGCCTGCCTCATAGAGGTTTCCATCCCAACCCCCACATATAGCTGAGCAGCCGGACACTGGCCCTGGGGAGGGCTCTCCCCATAGTGTCCAGCTGGGAGATTTGCTTCCCATGGTTGGACAGCTGACTCACCTGTTCAAAGCCGGTAGTTGACCTGGAGTTGACAGTGAGGCTATAACGGCCAGGCTCCTAGGTGTTCCTAAGAAAGCAGGTCGCAGTAACATGCCCTAAGAGCCAAAGGGGCTCCGGTTTTCCTCTCAGAGCAGATGAACTGTGTGTCCTGGGTTACATAACTCAGCAAGAGACAAACCTAGACTTATTTCACCTCAGAGTCAGCGGTCTGTGGCTTCTTCCACTTCAGCTTGTTCTTTCTCAAAATAAAAGGAAGAAGAGAGAGAGGAAGGGATGAAAGAAGCAAGAAGGAAGATACTGTCATTAAGAAAAGGGTACTTTGGGCTGGTGAGATGGCTCAGTAGGTACTGGCTGGCCACCAAGTCTGAGGTCCTGAGTTTGACCCCTGGAACCTACATGGTGTAAGGAGAGACTGGCCGCCAGCACTTTGTCCTCTGATCTCCACACAGGTATACACACACCCCATATACGTAGTACACCTATACACTTACACATGACAAATACAAAATGTAAAAGGTTTAAAAAGATTTATTTCTAATATTTTAAAATTACATGTCTTTGCATATATGTCAGAGTCAGCACAAGCATGGAGCGCAGGCGCCCAAGAGGCCCAACTTGTGTGATCTTCCTGGAGCTGAGAACCAGTGCTGATCCCAAAGTGCTGGTCTTCCGTAAAGACAGTGATCTTAACTCACTGAACCAATACTCCAGCCTCACGAGCAATGTGTATACAAGCACACACACACATGCACACAGGACCCGAGAGTTCAAGTTCATCCTTTTCTACATAGCAAGTCTGAGGCTAGCCTGGGTGCCGTGATACCACAAAAAAAAAAAAAAGAAGAAGAGAGAGAGAGAAAGAGAAAAGAAGATGAAGATGAAGACGAAGAGGAGGGGAATCTATGGGAAGGCCACTCTCTTGTCTTCAAGCATCCCTCTTCAAACCAGTTGCTACTGCAGAACAGAAGGAGCTTGACTGGCCTCTTGCGTCTCACAGCAGCTTGGGTTGAGGAACCTTGTTATCCATGGTTACTAATAGAGGATGCAAGGCTGTACCCACTTGTTAATCTAGGGAGAAACTTGTAATGGAAGATTTAGACAAGTTGGCCATTCGGATAACCACTCAGAACCCTGTGTAGGACGGGGTCACTGTGAACGCTGCTCCACCAGACCCACTACCTCTGAATCACATCTTCTGGCCTTAGCTGCTGCGCCTCTGGCCAAGGGAAACTGGATCTTAGTCCCTGGATAGTCGCTCCAGCTCCGCGGGGCTCCCAGGACACCTCAGCATCGGATTTCGCGTGGCAGCCCAGCTTCCCTAACTCGGATCCCCTCCCGCCAGGGAACCCTGGGACCAATCGCAGAGCTGCACAGCTCCGGGTTGTAGAGTCCCAAGCTCGGGACCCGCCCCTCTTTGTTGCGGTGTCCAATGGCCGCATTCGGAACATCGGCGGCTGCCCGGGTGACTCAGTTATATGTCACAGAGTAACATTCGAGAATGGGACGTGGAATGAGGCGACGACCGCCTCAGCTCCAACAGCCTTCTGCAGCAATGAGGCCGGCCCGAGGTGGGTCCCCGGGCCCCGCGCGCTTCGTGGCGGCCCGCAGCTGCCACTCGCGGTGCCCGCGCGGGACCCGCGGGAAGGGGGCGGCGCTGCGCTTGCCCGGGAACCCCGGCTGGAGCCGCCCCTCGCGCGCCAGGGTTCGGGGGGCTTCCGGGAAGACGCCAGGCCTCCCTAACAAGCGGAGGCTGCTGCGGCGCCCTCGCGCCGGCCCCGGGCGCTCACGTGCCCGCCCGCTCTGGGTCGGTGGCAGTCCACCACATCTGGGGACCCAGGGATGCGTGAAGCTGGAGGGAACCCTCGAGTCTCCTTGCCACACTGCTGTCTTGCTTCTTCCTACCCCGTCCCCTCCTCACCCCGCGCTCCCTGCATGCCTCCCCATCCCCGAGTGCAGCTGGGTGTGAGGCTTCGTGGCGTCTTTCCAGCCGCCGTGCTAGGTAATCGGCGGGGCTGGAGGCTCGCGTTAGTCCTGAGGGGGTGGGTCTGGGGCAGCCAGGCGGGGGGTGGGCGGGAACCCCCATCCCTGTCTTACTGAGAGCCGCAGTGTCTGCTGTTTCGGCTGCTTTCAGGCTCGGCCGGTGAGCGGGGTTCCCTTCACGCGTCCTGCGGCCGCGAGAGTTAAAGGCCACCCCCGCGGGGCCCTGATCCCCGGCGTGCCCGCGTCCTCCGCCCCCTCGCCGCGTGCCCCTCACCATGACCGGCTCCGCCGCCGACACTCATCGCTGCCCCCACCCCAAAAGCACCAAAAGCACCCGGTCCCGGAGCAGCCACGCACGGCCCGTGAGCCTCGCCACTAGCGGGGGCTCGGAGGAGGAGGACAAAGACGGCGGGGTGCTGTTCCACGTGAACAAGAGCGGGTTCCCGATCGACAGCCACACCTGGGAGCGGATGTGGCTGCATGTTGCCAAGGTCCATCCCAGAGGGGGAGAGATGGTAGGCGCCATCAGAAACGCTACCTTCCTGGCTAAGGTCAGTGGCTTGGCTGGGGAGGGTGGGATGGGCGGGATGGGTGGGATGGGACCGGTTCAGCCCGGGCAAGAGCAGGGAGAAGGGACCTCCGGCTCCTCCAGCAGGGATGTCCAGCTACTGAGTCCTGTCTTCCTGTTCTGCTGCCAACAGGGGCAGGCAGGGGGCTTGCTGGCTTGGCCAAATCCATTATGTACTCAGCTCCTGTAATATCTTCATCAAAAGCTAATGTCGCCAGGTCAACACCAGCCACTACAAGAAAGCATAGAAAGCCAGGGTCCACACTGCTTGTCCTCCATGCGTGTTTTACTCTCCCTTCTCCCTCCCCCTTCCCCCTGGTAAATGATTTATGGAGCCGTGAGTGAATTTGTAATCAATCAGCCAGACCTCTCAATGTCATTTCTAGACTTTTTGCCAACATCTTCATCATCACCAGCTTCCTCTCCTTTTCCTCTTTCTCTTCCTCCGCCTCCTCTTTTTTTACGACAGTCATTTTTGATTTTTATCTCTGAAACTTACAGAGAACAGTGACTTGTCTCTTACTAGCCTACCTGGCGCCAAGGAAGCGTTTGGCTGTGACTTAAAGGGACTTTCCAGGACACAGGATGAATTAGTCTCCAGGGTAAAGGGAGACACCAAGTGAAGCTCTCTTTTTACTCTGGAGAGCAGCCAGGGAGCGATTGAGCTCAGTGGCCAAGGATATGGTTACAGAGAGACATGTCCTCTGGTGGGAGTGTCCTGTTATATAAAATGAAAGCCAGGTGTGTGGCCGTGGAGATGGCTTCCCTGGACTCTAGGGACCCTGTTTGCTGAGCAGACTCCTGAGAAGATTCAGGAATCTCATATCCCAGAGTCATGGCAGCAGTAAGTCCCAGTCCTGCCTGGCAATAGCTGAGCATGCAAACCCACAGGCCAAAAGGCTATGTGTGCCCTTGGGGAAGTGGAGGAGGCTCTGTGCTTCCTGCTTCATCGTGTTTTATCATTGTGCTAGGGAGAGAGTTTATTCTGTCCAAATAGGAGCTTGCCTATGCTAGAAGCTTGTCTGTGGGAGCATGAGCAGTAATAATCCCTGCTCTCCAACATGGGCAGCCCTGGCTCTGACTTCAGCATCTTTCTCTGCTTACTATGAGTCACCAGAATCCTTAAACATGGAAGAGTTGGGCAGAGGGAGCAGAGACTGGATGCCACTGTCTTGAGCTGGCTTTCTGAATCTTGCACCTCGCTCACTGTGCCTTCATCCTTACCCCAGTTCCATGTGCAGGAGTCCTTCTCCATGTGACAAGCACTGGATCTTCCTATTGGTGAAGATGTCTCTCAAGTCCTCCCCAGAGGAAGGCAGGGTATGAGACAGTGGGAATCTGCCTCTGTTCTCTGTGGCCTCCTCTTCCTTTACGTCTCTCCTCTCCCCTTCTCCCTGTCCCTTCTTTCTCCACTTTTTTCTCCTCCTCCCTCTTCTTCCTCTTCTTCATCTCCCTTTTCCTTCTCCTCTTTAACAAGTCTATCTGCCCTTTCTTGGACTGTGGCTGGTTTGTCACAGATGCAGTATTCTAAATGTCCACGAGGCAGTTTAGAACGTAGGTTTCCACTCCCTGAGACTAACACTTGATGTTTCCCAGATTGTAGCCGAGAGCTTCCTTTTTATAAAGAGAAATTCCAGGCAGGAAAGGTGACGAATACCTGTACTCTTAGCACTCAAGAGGGAGAAGCAAGAAGATTATAAATTAAAGGCCATCTTGGGCCTCACAGTGAGTTCAAAGAGAGCCTGCAATGTGTAGTGAGACCTTGTTTCAAAAAAGAAGAACATTCCCTTTTCTTCTATGTATCTTGTTGTATTTTCATTGTAACCAAACACTTCCTGACAGCTGCTGATAAGCCAGGCCTTCCTCAGCCCAGTGCAGGCATTTGCCTGCTTTCGTTTGGTTTTTGTTTTATTTGTTCGTTTTCTGAGACAGGGTCTCACACTAAGGCCTTGGCTGTCCTGGAACTGGCTATGTAGTCCCTGCTGGCCTCTAACTCATAGATCTCTGCCTCTCTTCCTCCTGCCTGGTCCTCTTCATTTATTTTTTTTAAATTTTGAAGGTTTATTTTCTGTGTATAGGTGCTTTGCTGGCATCTGTGTCTGTACACCATGTGCGTGAGTACTCACAAAGGTCAGAAGAAGGTGTTGAATCCTCTAGAACAGATGTTAGAGACAGCTGTGAGTCACCGTGGGTACTGGGAATTGAACCCAGTCCTCTGCAACACCAGCCAGTGCTCTTCACCACTGAGCCATCTCTCCAACCCCGTTTCCGTTCTTTGACTAGGTCTTGGTTATATCTGAGACTAGCCCTCATTATAAGTGAGGCTAGCCCTGAAATTTATGATCCTCTTGCCTCAGCATTCTGAATTCTGGGCTTATAGCATGTCCCACTACCCCTGGTGATGAGGGGTCTTTAAATTTGAATAGGACTGTATGATTTAATTTTCTAGTGTTGCTTATTTGGTTTTTGTTTGGTTTTGATTTTTGAGAGGTTCTTAGGTAGCCTAGGTTAGTCTCAAATTCACTCTGCTGAGGCTGGACCTCCTGGCTCCACCATTCCCAGTGAGTCTCAATAGCTGGCTCTCCATCCCTATCCCCCTCACTGGCACCTCCTGGCCTCAATATCCCCCAAACCCTGGCTCCTCCCCAGGCCCAGGCAAGCTGATGTCAAGCTGCTCTGTCAGACACTGTTCCTCTCCACTCCAGGGCTTGCAGTCTCTCCTGGGGCCACGTCATTCTCCTTTAGCCAAGCCAATACTATGTTGTGAGGAATTTGCACCATCGGAGGGTGGTGGGACTGTGAGTGGAGAAGGAGGATTGGTGAATTTGGCAGGAGTAATACTGCAGCAACAGAATGTGGACTGAGGCAATATGGTATCCAGAGCAAGTTCCCAGGGTCCATGAGCACGGATGGCGTGTCCAGGACGTTCTGTGATGGACCATAGTAAGTTCTGTCTGAAGGCTTGGGTGGGTAGGGGTGAGTATCACTTGAGATCTTCTATCCAAATTTCATCTGCATTCTTCTCCACGAGTGGCTACTGAGCCAAGCGAGCACCTGGCAATCCAGGCTTTTACTGGGATAATTTAAGAAAAAAGATCAAAAGTCACTGGGGTTACACAGGATGGGCAGAGAGTGACAGAGAGGCAGGTGCAGAAGGAGCAGCTGACCCTTCTAGGTCTGGCTGTAGGGCCTCCTCCTAGTGTCCAGAGGTCAACTTAGCTGTGGCAGGACACCAGGGCCCTCAGCAGGAAACGTCACTCGGTTTCCTGCAGCCCCCACCTGTGTATGTGTCTCATTTTCACAGTGATTCCAAATTCAGAAAGAGTTCACATCAGAGGGCCGAGCGCTGACTTCATGAAGTGTGAGCAGAGATCTGAGACTCTCCACAGGCTCTGCCCCTGCACCCTGTGCTCTCAGGATTCTCCCTCCCTTCCTTGTCCTGGATTTAGAATTATCCCCCTTGTCTGTCTGAATCCTCCCAAAGTGTGACTCCAGGAACTCCGTCCCAGATCACAGGCTGGGACCCTTTGATGCAGGAGCCTGGGGCCATTCTGGAATTGTGGCTGCTCCATGCAGCCTCCCCCAGGTTTCCAGAAGGTTCTTTTTGTCGGCCGCCTGTGCAGTGAAAGAAATGTTTCGGTTCTCCTTGTTCCTGTTAAAGGTTGCTCCCGCTGGGGCCTCTTGCTGCCTCCCTGCTCCAGGCCTGGCTTCCCTTCCTTTCTTCTACAGCATGGAAATTACAGGACTGTGCTCACCTGTGGGCCTCCATCTTGCCTTCTGTCAGCTCTCTTGTTTGGCAAGGAGGAAGTGGAGAGGCAGGCTGCCAGACTCTGTGGTCTCATTATTCTTCTCTGCTCACTGCGTACCCTCTTCTTCCAAATCCTTAAAACTTGCCTGGGCTTCCTGGCCAGCACAGGGAACTGCCTTTCAGAGTATGCCAACTAACAGGAAGAGTGGAAGATGACACTTTACAGGGCCTTAGGTTGTATTTAAGCTATCAGTGAACTTAACCTTTTCCAGAGGGTCATTATTTGCATTTCTCCTTTAGTAAAACACTTCCTTGTTTTTTATGGTAAAGTGCAGGATACATGACCTACCTTTCATCATTTTGAATGTATGGCTGTCGTTGTTTGGGATCCTGAATGTCCCCAGAGGCCCACCTGTTGAAGGCTTAGCCCCCAGCCTAGGATGCTTTTCAGAGGTGGGGCCTAGCAGGAAGGACCTAGGTAACTGGGCAGAGTGCCCTAGAATCAGAACACTGGCTCCTCTCCCTGCCACCGCCATTTCTTGAATTCCATGAGGTGAACAGACCTCTTTCCCGTGCTTACTCCATGAAAGCATGAACCTATAGTTACAAGTAACCGTGAGCTCTGAAACTGTGAGACAAAACCACCTTTGTTCTCTATAAGCTTGTTGTCTCAGGTGCTTTGTCACAGTGATAGAAAGTTCTAGACACACATGTGAGGTCAGACAGGTGTTGGTCACCTTTCACCCTGTGGGTTCGGGAATTGAACTCAGGTCATCAGACTTGAGCCAAAGGCCTCCTGCTGAGCTTTCTCCCGGACCCCAGTACTGACTGTTTTGAGGCTGTTTTACTTCAGGATTCACCCTATGTCAATGTGTCCCCAGTATATGCCTGCTTTTGAAAAGTAACTAGCATTTGTCTGTGTTGGGATGGAGTTTTGTTTATTCATTCTGTCCACTCAGAGGCGCTGAGCTGACCCTGCTTTTTCATGGCTGCCTAAGGAGCTGTCTTATGACTGCCTGTGAGACTAAGACACCAACCATCCCCTTAGCAGCGTGTGTTGAACTTGGCGACGGAGTTCTTATCTCCTATTGGGTAGGGAGATGTCCTCAAGAAGCAACATCTCACGGTTGTGTGCTGCTGATCCAGAGCCTCTCTAGTCCAGCTCCTGGGAGCATGTCAGTGATGGATAACAGCCCAGCTTATACCTGTGTCCCATGTACCGCTTTCGCCATGCTGCCTTCTCACACAGCAGGCCGTATTGTCCCACGGCAGCTCCGAGGGCAGAAGAGGCAGTGTTGCTGTCTATCTGGATGCAAGTGGAAGCTCTGGGATCCTGTCAAGTCCATAGCTGGTAGGAGACAAAGCAGGGATTCAAACCATTCCGAACTAAGGTATATGTCTCATCATAACCCCCTCAGGGGGAGGGCCCTCTGGCTTACATCCAGATCCAGCAGGAACATTGGCTGCCCGAGGTGCCGTTCGAAGTTGCCCCCGGGCTGAGCCCCTGCCAGCTTGCCTGACATCACAGTGAATTGAAGCTGACGATATCTTGCAGTGAGCCACCTTGGCTCCCCGCACCACAGCCCTGCCTGCTACAGCCCATGTGGGGAACGCTTACATTTGTCCTCCTGCTTGGGAGCAAGTGTGACCACAGGCAGCTGAGGTAACTGTGCAGCTGTTTCTCTAAATCCCTTGGGTGCCATTGGCGGCTATTCTGAGGCCCAGCTGCTTTCTGAGACCTACTCTGTGAGCTCCCTGGGATGGAGGGGGCTGGAAATAACTCCATGGTCAGCTCAGCTCCCAAAGTGGACTCTGAGCCAAGTCATGGGCTATGCGTGTGGGAACTCGCTCTCATGTCCCGTCGCTCTCCTCTCCACCTTTCTTGGATGGGATTTCCCTCTCCCTTCCTTCCCTGCTCCTGTGCATCCTGCTCTGTGCTTGGCCTAGAGCTTACCACATGAAGATGCTGAGCAAGGGTCTGTTCCTCGGCCTACCTTCTCTTCTCACCTCTCTCTGAAGCCTCTGTTCGGTTCTTACAGAGGTTTGGTAGACATGTGGGTGTTAATGTGAAAAGCACAAGGAAGTCTCCATGATTGCGAAAGTTTATTGGACAGAGAATTCAATGTGTGACTTGGTGTGTGTGAAACTGTTTATGTGGGTGTGTGTGCCTGTCTCTCGCTAACTGTGTGTGTGTGTGTGTGTGTGTGTGAGAGAGAGAGAGAGAGAGAGAGAGAGAGAGAGAGAGAGAGAGAGAGAAGTGTGTGTGTTCTCTCTTGATAACTCTGTGTGGGGGAGAGGAGGGGAAAGAATGAAGTCATGGGAACATCTGTTCACATTGGAGCCTTTTCCCCTCCAAAGTGACTCTCCCAGACAGGGAGTTGGAGTTGAAGTGTCAGAGAGAAAATGTAGCTTGCAGATCAGTTGAGCCCGTGTGTATGCCCACATAGCCACGCATGTGCTCACACATATACATAGCGCCTTGGTTCTGATGTGCCAAGTGTGACTGCTTCCCTTCCAGCTGTAGGGACAGTTTCTATGAATTTAGAACACCTCAAAGTCAAGGCTGAGTAGAGGCACCGAGAAGAAACTATCAGCAGAGAACGTTTTTCGGTAAATGCAGCCAAAGTCACACAAATGGCAAAGCGCCTGCTACCCTGTGCTCAGAGCACCATGCCCATCTGTCACTGCATGGCAGAGCCTGTGCTTGGAGAGCCAGGAAGTCTTTAGGTGGTGTCTGGCACTGCTGCCTAGCTAGGCTGTCCATAGTTCTGCTTCCCCTTCCGTCTGCAAAGCTGGCCCTGTTTTCTCCAAGGATGAGACTAACTTGCTTTTCATTCTTTCTGCTTCTTATGAAGAAGCTAACGCCTAGAAGAGCCTCCTCTCTCAAACCTGCATCCAGAGGGAACAAGTTTCTTTGTCACCAATGATGTGGCCCACCACCAACATGGAGAAGATGAGGAGTCAGTGGGGGGATAAACAAACCCTAATGTGTTCCTGGCTGGCTGGCGTCCTCATGTCTTGGGAGTGGTTTGCTCGAATGCTGACTGCAGGCACTTGGGAGAGCTGTCTGGGCTGCCATGAGTCTAGGATAAGGTTCATGAGGCAGGGGCATGGCACTTACCAGGGAAGAGTCGAGGCAAGAGGAGGGCCTTACTTAATCTCGAACTCAGGAAAAGGACTAAGTAGAGAAAACGGTGGGCATGCGAAGAGTGTGGTATTGAAAACAATGCCTATGGCTGGCCTGCCATTCTGCCATTTGTCTTGTGGCCTGTGTCAACAATGTTCAAGGGGGAACACATAGAAAAGGGTCACTATTAGCCATGCTGTAGAATGGGTCAAGAGATAAAAAATTAAGAATCAGTGAAGCACCTTGGGGTTCTCTCTGGGACAGTCTTGATGGGAGACTCCAGGGGACATGGTCCTTGGCCTCAACAGGGGAGTTATATTCCCATAGAGAAGGCCAACTGTGTTAAAATCAATGTCAGGCGGGCCACTGAGAACCATAGCTCAGAGTGGAGTATATCTGGAGGGAGCTTAGAGGGTCCTTCAATGGTGGACCAACTATCTTAGGAGTCAGATGGTGTGGGGGAGGTGCCATATCAACAGGTGACTGACTATACTGAGTGTGTGTCTGCTCCCGGGAGTGGCTGTCACTTGGTTTCAGTCCCATGCCTGCTCCAGGAGCTGTACCAGAGCAAACCCTTGATAACATGAGTCCCTTCTCTCTGTCTCTCTGTAGCCTTCAATTCCCCAGGTTCCAAACTACAGGTTGTCCATGTCGATCCCAGACTGGCTCCAGACCATCCAGAATTACATGAAGACACTACAGTATCCTTCAAGCCAGGGGTTGAGCACCCCAGACAAGGGACAGGAGTGGTGATTGCAAGCTGAGTGCTATATCTGTTGCCTTTGATCGCCTGAAGCTCTAAGGCTGGTGACACAGGTGCTGGAGAGCACCCTTGAGTAAGAGCTTACAGCCTGTGACAGCAGTGACCAGAACAGCCAGAGCTTGTCCCTCAGAGGTGAAGTTGATCTGCCTTCAGGCTGTAACTTCTCTTTTCCCCCTTCCCTGCCCCTGTCCCCTAACATCCCTTCTTTCCATCCTTCTATTTTCTCTACTTCTTTGTTCCATTCTCCCTTTTCTACATGACCAGCATCTCCTTCTCCTCCTGACCTTCCTGACCTTCCTTCTCTCACTTGCTTTAACACATTCCTGCTCTCTCATGATCCCAGCAAGCCAGGTAGGTGACTTCGTCCCAGCTGTACATGCAGGGTTTGGGGGGGGGGGGGGTCCGCAGTGGGACTCCTACTTCAACTCAAACTGAAAGAGCTACTGAGAATCCTGAGGGTTCAGTTACACATGCTTTTTTTGGTTACCTCAGTGCCCTCGAGTTATTTACAGTCAGGGTTGGTTAGTTCCATTCTGCTGGTCCCTCAGAAGCAGCTGTGGGGACAAAGGAGCAGAGGTCATGGCTGCACGTGGCTTTTGGTGTTTACCAGCACAAGAGTGAAATGGGGACCCTCTCCAGTGTGCTTCTCTGGAGGTTGTGCTTGGGTTGACTGTGAGGAGAGGCCCAGGCGTGTTGGCTTGCCTTCTGCTTGCTTCTCCCCAGCCTTGAGGATGAGCATACTTAAGGAAGCATAGGCCTGGGTTCCCCCATTCTCTGCTGCAGGAAAGAACAATTCTGTCTCCTGAAGGGGCCAGACAGCAGCACCTTCCCAGGGCTACCTAGCACCCTGGAGAACAGCCCCTACTCTGCTCATTAAGATCCATTACTTTATTAGCCTGTCAGTTTCTGCCTCACAAGCCCTCTTTCCTATGTGTCGTCATCCCCATGGAGTCCGGCTGCCTCAGTGGGAGATGATAGCTCTCTCCAGAGAGAGGCTGGCAGCCCAAGGCCCCACCAAAGTTATTGGATATTGCTTCTCTTCTCCATAAGTGAGACTCCACGTGGATTGTTGCTGGTTTTTGAGGGACACAAACACCTTCTCAAACAGACCCAGGCCCCAGGAGCTGTGCTTCTTTCAGTTGTTACTGTCACCAAACATCCCAGGTAACCTAAAGTTAGAACGGCTCTCATGTCTATCTAGGACGAGGCCTTCCCAAGGAGAGTGAGCCAGCATGCGCTTCATCAGTAGGGACAAATTTGCATGTGTTTTGCATATCATTTTCTCACACTGCTATAAAACCTGCCACAAACTCAGCTCAGTCACCATGGCTCTTGAAGGGCCCCCTTTTTACCTTTTCTCTGACGCATTAATGAAGGCTGCTAGCCTAGATTACTGACTGCAGGGACAGCAATGAGGCACCAGGGGACCAGGGACCAGGTCCTTAGGTCTTGGGAGCTATCATCAAGGGAGGCAGAATAGAAACTCTCTCTGCCTTCTTGGTTCTTGTTCTGGACACGGGTGCCAGCACATGGTGATTGCTTGGGGCCATTCCTAATCACACATGCGTTCAGCTGTCAGTGGAGGTTTTTTTTGATGGGACTGACTCTGCCTTCCCCTGGCACAGAATTCCAGAGGCCGTGAACGGGAATGCTAGTCTTTGTGTGTGTCTAGAAAGAGAGATCATGGCTTTTCTAGGCATAGGAAACCTGCCCAGGAGCTCTGCATTTCAGACAGGGAAGGCTGGAGAGAAACTTCCAGAAGCTCAGCTATTAGCCACAAGGAACTTAGAGAACATAGCTAGACAACTTTTTATTACTTATGTATGGATTAATCTTACTTTGTAGAAACTAAATTCTGCTTTAAATATACTGGAAACCCCACTGTTTGAACAACATCTTTGATAAAGTTAAAAAAAAAAAAGCACCACTTCACAATAAAAGCTCTCTCTTTTTTCTTTCACCAGTAAGAATTTTTAATATCTTATTTTAGAAATGCCCAGCAAGCCTGCACTGCTATAACCATGGCTTAGGGCAGCTTCCTGGGATCACCTCTGGCCCTCTAATCCAGCATCTGACGTGGGGCAGAAGTCATGTGCTATGGACAACACCTGGCTCTTTATCTGTGCCCTCAGCCTGGAGGGCACTTTGTTCCTCTTGGGGCAGTATGAGGTCCTGCCACCCTCAAAGCTGCTTGTATTACTGGGGACACATAGGGAGTGAGTTCTGGGCACCTGACTGGGCATGGCGCTCTAGGCAAACAGAATCATGAGTCATCCACAGCCTCCCAACACATACATTTTACAAACAGGATTTTGCTTGAGGCAGAAGAATAAAACATACAAATCAAGTTTTCTTTAAGCTTAAAAAAGAATTAAATGTTGTGTCTCAGAAAGCATGACAGGAGTGGGCCATTGGTGGACCAGGCTTGCTAGCTTCGGAGAGCTGGGCAGTCGATCAGAACAGGGCATGGATAGTGGTGTCATCTGCTTAGTGGTGTCAAGTGTCATCTAGGCATGAAATGAGTGACGTTTCCTTAAGTTCTGTGTGCTGTTGAAAAAATCTAACTGCCATTCATCCACTCTTCCATCTTTTCTTCCGTATACTGATACATTGGTGAGCCCATAATACACATACACACACACACACACACCACATACATGCAAACACACACACCACACACACCCATACACACACACACACAAACATACACATACACAAATACACACACACATGTCTAACCATACTTCTGTCCATCTGTCCATCCACCTCACCACTTACCTTTCTCCTATCACCCATCCATCCATCTGTCCTTCCAAGTGTCTGTTCATCCATTTCCTTTTCTTCCTTCCATCTTGCCATCTGTCCTTCTGTCTGTTTACTTTTTCTCTCCTTTCCGTCCATCCTCTCCCTTGTTTATCCTCCGAACTTCCCCTCATCAGTTAATTCATTTACTTGCTCTCATTTTTTTTAATAACACCTGCTAACCTGGGCTTATTGAGCTTCCCTCAGGCATTATGGGAGATCCAAAGGTGATAAAAGAAAGATCCCAGCTCCCAAGAGCTTCTTGTCTAGCGTGCGACTTAAGACATGCAGTAAAATAACTGAAGCAGAGGGTAGGCTGCTGGGAAGTGCTACGAACGTCAAAGGTGCATGCAGGCTTCAGTTTAGAAGCTGGGTTTCTAGGCTGCACGGTGAGGAGTCAGGGGCTGTTGGATCCCCACAGACACTGTCCAGGAAAGCAAGTACTTTCTTATCCCACGGGGAGATGGGAATCTGTGTGGCCATCTGCCATGTGACCAGGACTCTGGAGTTTCTGTCCCTTTCCTTTACATGCTTCACACAGATACAACCACACAGGGACCCAGTTCTTTGAAATCAGGAAAATGCGACCTCTGAGCGGGTAAGTGGCACGTGATCTGAGGACCACGTGGCTTCTTTCCTACCACTGAGCTGAGCCACCAGTGCCCTCTTCCAATCTGTCCCTGTGTCCCAGGGATCCAGGATTCTAGTCTGCAGAGGGTGGAGGTGGACCTGCTTCAGGGCCTGGCTGTGGGTGGGGCTAAGGACTAGTCCCTCTTGGCAGCTAAATTTAGTGGTCAAGACTGACTGCCAGGCCGGCTGTGGTGACACACGAGCTTTAATCCCAGCACTTGAGAGACAGGTGGATCTCTGAGTTTGAGGCCAGCTTGGTCTACATCAAAAGTTCTAGGACAGCCCCTGACTCAAAAATGAACCAGACTGACTTTCAGGACAGCAGAGGCCTGCAAACCTGTCCCTGTAAGTCCCTGCTTCCAGGCTGGGTGGTGCTCACACCACGCCCTCTGAAGTAACTGGGGGCGAGTACAGGCTTGAGGATATTAGTTGTCAGAAGCACCGATGCTTTGGGTTCTTCCTGGAAGTGAGTTGTTCCCTTTCTCGCTAGATCCCTGCATGCTGCCTAGTGTGGAGGAGGGCATGCAGACAGACTGATGGACTGACAGACAGCCAAACTGACTGCCTAACTGCCTAAGTTCTGAGATGATCTGCTGTGCTCTGTCCCACAGGTTAATGGAGACAGCGAAGGAGATGACCCGAGAATCCTTGCCTATCAAATGCCTGGAGGCAGTCATCCTGGGCATGTATCCTTTAAGCTTTGCGCTGTCCCTTTGTGATCCTCTTCTGGAGCTAGTTCTGCTCTGGTGTCCTTGGAGGAAAAATGTCAGACGCCCTCTTAGTTTGACCTGGCTGGAGCTGAACACACCCAAGGCTCCTAGACCAGCTTCATCTCACCTGTTGTCTGTGATGCTGTCAGGGACAGATGCCAGGCTAGTGACTGTAGATTCAGCAGTCACAGGAGAATTCAATTTCCGAGGGACTTTGTAGAGTGCCTGTGTGGTTTTTCTTGCATTAATCTGACACTGTCATAAGAAAGACACTTAGAGTCGAGTCAAAGCCAAGAGAGCAAATATCCAGACCCATCACTGGGGGAAATCTGAGAGCAGGTTTCAGAGAAGAGCAAGTGCTGGCAGTGTGTCATGATGGAACTCGGGGACACAGGGGTCTGGCAGTGTGTCACGATAGAACCTGGGGACACAGGTGTCTGACAGTGTGTCATGATGGAACTCGGGGACACAGGGGTCTGGCAGTGTGTCATGATGAAACCCAGGGACACAGGGGTCTGGCAGTGTATCATGATGGAACCTGGGGACACAAGGGTCTGGTCTCTAATGCTCGGTCATTTTCACTGCATTCCTGGCTCTTTGCCTGGAATTTGGTCCAGAAAAGCTGTGATGTCCCTGACTGATGGTGTGAGCAGAGCCAGCGCAGTGCTAGGTCTTCTTGTGGGGCAGTTGGCTGGGGGGAACCATAGCCATGGAAGCAGGACACAGAACAAGGTGCTGGGCTAATAGCCAGCCCCAGATAGAACAAGGTGCTGGGCTAATAGCTGGCTCCAGAATGGCATCTTTAATGCTGTGCTAAGTGGCCTTCAGAAAGCTCTGAAGCTGAAGACCTGTTCGGTCTCATCCTGGATCCTGTATGTCCAGTAGCTTTCTGAAGGACAGACAGGACATGTTGGAGGCAGCTGGGCTGGATCTGCAGAGCCCACTGTGAGTTCTTATAGAAGGGAATGGTGACACCTGGACCATGACCTTGGCAGTGGGGCTGGGTTGGACGAGATAGCTTCCAGAACTTGCCAGGAGCTTGGGTGTACAGGACTTGGAAGCCAGCCAGACGTACAAGTTGACAGGGAGTCAGCCACAAACAGAGAAGAGCTCGAAGAATCAAGGGTGACAGGACTGTGGCATGCTTTGGTGCAGACCTGCACTGGGACAGAAGCAGTAAGAGCTGGGGGGGGGGCACAGGCATCCAGGCTGCAGCACTGCATCCCCCCATTCCTGTCTTGCATGGTGATGCCACGGCCCAAGAGAAGAGCTTGAAAGGAAGGCTCCAGCTGCGGGGTATGAGTTCAGACACAGACTGGGTGGATTTAAAACATGAACTCTGGGCTGTTCGGGATAGGAATATTTGGAGTGTGGGGCTTTTGAAGGGGCAGATCTATGCCAGAAACACAAATTGGGTGATATGAGTGTTAGGGAAACAAGTTAGGAGAAGGAAAAATGGTGATCAAGGATGAACCACAAAATTCTTTTACCTGGATGGACACAAAGAACCCACGAATGAGAATGAGCCTTCTCCTTTGTTTTCTGTTGCTGTGAGCTACGCCATGACCAAAGCGAGTTAGGGAGGAAAGGGTTTATTTCTGCTAGTGCTTCCAGGTCAGAATCTATCACTGAAGGAAGTCAGGGAAGAAACCACGGGGAATGCTACTTACTGGCTCGTTCCCTGGTTCATTCTCAGCAAGCTAGCTTATATAGCCTAGACCTGCCTGCCCTAGGGATGGTGCAGCCTATAATTGCCTGGGCCCTCCACATCAATCAGTTAAAACAGTTCCTCAGAGACACAACCACAGGCCAGTCTGATGGAGGCAACTCTTCAGTTGAGGTTCCCTCATCCCAGGTAGCTCAACACTGTGTCAGCCTGACAGTAAAGAACAAGCAGGGCAGAGACGTAAGGAAACTTGAGTAGGTTGAGACCCAGGAAAGGAGACAGGGATTAGTGGAAGAGGAGCTTCAGTGTTAGATGGGACAAGGGGATGGTCTAGTCTGTCTGTTGAGACTCTTGGGCAGGTGTGGGATTTGCATGTGTCCATGCTCTTGAGTACAGATGCACACATATGTATCCATAAGCATGTATGGATACAGAGTTAACAGTTGGCTGGGCAGTGGTGGCACATGTCTTTAATCCAGCACTTGGGAGGCAGAGGCAGGCAGATTTCTGAGTTCAAGGCCAGCTTGGTCTACAGAGTGAGTTCCAGGACAGCCAGAGCTACACAGAGAAACCCTGTCTTGGAAAACCAAACCAAACCAAACCAAACCAAACCAAACCAAACCAAACCAAAACAAACCAAAACAAACCAAAACAAACCAAACCAAACCAATCCAGAATTAACAGTTTAACATCAGATGCCTTTAACACTCTCTTCCTTTGTGTGTGTGTGTGAAGTGTATACACATATATGTGTGTAAGTGTGGATGCACACATACCACAGCTTGAGGGTAGCGGTCAGAGGACAACCTTAGATGTTGGCCCTCAGCTTCTACCTCATTCGAGACAGGGTCTCTTTGTTGTCCATTGCTCTGTATAGCAAATTACCTGGCCCTCAGGCTTCCAGGGATTTTCCTACCTGCCACCCCACCTCACAGAGCTGACGGGGCTACAGATGTGATCTGCTGTCCCTGGCTTTGTGTAGGCTCTTGGTATTGAATTTGGGTTCTTTGTTTGGGCAGTAAGAGCTTTAACCTAAGATACCTCCCCAACCGTCCACCTGACTTTTTGAGACTAGGTTTCCCACTGAACCTGGAGCACCCTGGTTTGGCTAAGCTGGGAAGCTCCTCGACCCCAGAGATCCACCTGTCTCTGCCTCCTGAGTGCTAGGATCAAAGGTGTGTGCCATCACTGCCTGGCTCCACAGCGAGTTCTTTAATAACTGATACATCTCCTCAACCCCTCTTGTATCTTTATTTTTTTATTTTATTTTTTTATTTTTCGCTCTTTGAGGTTCTAGGGGCCCAATTCAGCACCTTGGTTGTGCTTGTCCAGTACTTGACCTGAGCTACACCTCTGGCCCCAGATTTTCATAGAGTTTTGTGTTTACTTTGTGTATATATTGGTGGGTATTAAAGCCAGGGCTACCCACCTGCTATTGGACAGGGAGCTTTTGTGATTCTTTGCCTCTTGCAGAGCACATAGGGGTTTGACCTGAAGCATATGACTGTCCATCTGTACCTTAGCATTTGGAAAACGACAACTTGAGTCTTTCAGAAGCCTCTCCCAGATCTTCCTCTTGCTCCTCATCAAACACATGTTAGGAAGTTTAGCAGGAAGGCAGGCTGGGGTGGGGGGGGCAATAGGAAGCTCAGGGCTCCACTCTTGAGTAGCCACAGCTGTAGGCAGAGCCTCTTTCTGGGAACCATTGGCTAGGGAGCTGCTGGCTAGCGGCCAGTGGAGGACACAAGGCCAGTGCCATCCCTGGATAGACAAGCTCCACTCAGCCACTTTGGCTGCCTGGTGAGTGTGCAGGGCATATGAGCCTGGGGTGAGTGGGCCCTGGCTATATAGGCCTGGGGTGCTTGGGCCTTGGGTGTGTGGGATCACCGTTTGTGGGTCTGGGTATGTAGTTATGGGACTGGATTATGTAGGCCTGGAGGGTGTTGGCCCCGGGGTATGTGGGTCTGGCGTAAATGAGGGTGTGGGGTGTGGATGCAGGGTATGTGAGCCTGGGGCATATGGGTCTAGGGTATGTGGGTCTAGGGTATGTAGATCTGGGTGTGTGGGTGGGTATGTGGGAGCAGGGTTATGTGGGTGTGGGGTATGTGGGACCGGATGTATGGGTCTGTGGTATGTGGGCCACCTTGTTCTTTGTACATTGTCACACATCTGAGCATCATGTCCCTTGAATTATCTAGAACATCAGGGCTTGTAGAGAATAGATTTAGATTTAGGAACCCGCTGGGCCAGGGCTCTTGATTTTATTTTATTCTTACCTATGTGACATTTCAGAGAAGAACAAGGTAGGTGACGAGCATGGAAACTTCTGCTTGTCATGTTCAACTCAGGGAAAATGGACTCTTGGCACAGACCTCCATCCAAACTTACAGCATCTCTGGGTTTGCTCTGTCAGTGTTCTGGTGTCCTGCTTCCAGTGATTCAGGTCACAGTCATGTCTCCCAGAGCTTCCCCACTGTCCTGGGAGGCAAGGTTTCCTTGACAGCTGGGAACCTGGTAGGTTTGGCTGACTTCTAGTTACCTGTCCTTCTTTTCTATCTAATAGAAGCCAGGGATAACTTTAGGTATGGTTTCAGAGGCACTGTCTTGTCTGTCTGTCTGTCCATCCATCCATTCATCCATCCACCCATCCCAGCCCTCGATTACAAACCTTGGTTCTGGGTATTGAATGAGGTAAGTGCTTTACCAACTAAACTATCTCCCAGCCTATGTCTTACATGTTGTCACCTCAGCCTCAAGTTCAGGACCCCTTCCTGGACATTCACCTTGCACACTGACTGTGCACACTTTCCCATGCTCGTCAGACACATGCATCTTAAAAGTCTTTTCTGAATTATGGCAATTGTGTATTTGGGAGGAACAGCTGCTGCGGCCAGCCTTGCGTGGCGAGTAGTGCTCTGGTGTTTGGTCAAGGTCACAGGTGCACGGGAAGAAACACACTCGATACTGGAAGTGAAGCTAAAAGCTACTATTACCACAAGCAAGCAGCCAGGCTTGGTTTGTTTAGTAACATGTTGTAAAGAGTACCATGATTACTTTGTTTCGTTCTGAGACAGTCTTACTACTACTTATTCCAGACTGGCCTTGAGCTTCCTCCAGCCTTCTAGGACTACAGGCCTGGGCCACTGTGCTTGGATATCATTTTGTCATTTTTGGTGGTACTGAGGATTGAACCTAGGGCCTCATGCTTTGCAAGGCAAGTGCTTTTCCACTCAGCTGTAGCCCCTTTCACTATATGACATAGCTTTCTAGTACATGTAAAAATCATCTGAACGTCCCCTGTCTTCGTTACTCTCTTTTGCTGTGGGAAGACACTCTGACCAAGGAAACTTCTGAGAGAAAGAGTATTTGCGGGCTCACAATTTCAGAAGGTGAGCCCTTACCCATCATGGCTGGGAGCATGACAACAGGAAGGCATGGTTCTGGAGCAGTAGCCAAGAGCTTCTATGTCTTGAGACACAACTCAAAAGGCAGGAAGATATAGATATAATATCAGGTCTTGAGGCTTAAATTTGTGATCCCAGTGCTGGAAATGTAGAGGCAAGAAGATCCCTGGGGGTCACTGGCTAACAAGCTTATCTTAATGTTCGAGCAGTTCCAGGACAAGAGACCCTGATTTGAAAAGTAAGCACAGTAGAAGAACATGGAGGTGGATCTCTGCTCTCCACACTCAAGTACACCACACCATGAGCACACACACACACGTGTACATACACCACACCTTGCTTGCACATACACACACATATATGCACAGGCACACACACATATACAGACACATCATGCATACACACACAAGTAAAAACACCCTAAGTAGCTCCAAGTGCCCTGTAGAAGCCAGACAAAGAAAAGGTGCCTGGTTATTGTTTTGTTTTGTGTTTAACTTTTTTTCTTTTCTTTTTTTTTAAAGATTTATTTTATGTATTCACCATTGCTCTCTTCAGACACACCAGAAGAGGGCATCAGATTCCATTAAAGATGGTTGTGAGCCACCATGTGGTTACTGGGACTTGAACTCAGGACCTCTGGAAGAGCAGTCAGTGCTCTTAACCGCTGAGCCATCTCTCCAGCCCTGTGTTTAACTTTTGAAGACAGCAGGTTTTCTCTCTATCCCATGTTCACTTGGTTTTGGTAATACATCAGAGAGTTGATACTCAAAGACACCTAGAAAATTCCTTGTAGAGGACTCATCTGAGAAGGTCAGATACCAAGCTGCTGGAGACAGGAGAATGGACTCACTGGCCCCAGCAACAGTATCTTATTCTGGAAGGCATGCTCTCTGAATTCTTTGGTGGTTGTTTTGTTATTGTTTTGTTGGTTTTTTTTTTTTTTTTTTGAGACAAAGTTTCTCTCTATAGCCCTGGCTGTCCTGGGACCCTATTTGTAAACCAAGTTGGCCTTGAACTCACGGTGGTCCACCTGCCTCTGCTTCCCAAGTGCTGAGATTAAAGGCATGGGCCACCATGCCCGGCACACTCTGAATCTTTTAGGCCTCGCTCTTTCCCTTGACTCCACTTGCCTCAGATATTTAACCAATGGGCAGCCTTCCATTGAGCGCTTCCCTATCAGCTTTAAAACCTATTTCTCAGGAAACTACTTCCACCATGTCGTGCTGGGGATTTACTGCAATGGTTACTATGGTTCACTGGGCATGAGCCGAAGGGCTGAGCTGATGGACAAGCCGCTGACCTTTCGGACTCTGAGTGACCTTGTCTTTGACTTTGAAGACTCCTATAAGAAATACCTGCACACGGTCAAGAAGGTCAAGATTGGGCTGTACGTCCCCCATGAGCCTCACAGTTTCCAGCCCATCGAGTGGAAGCAGCTTGTCCTCAATGTCTCCAAGATGCTGAGGGCTGACATCAGGAAGGAGCTGGAGAAGTACGCCAGGGACATGAGGATGAAGGTGAGTTCGGGATAAGCACAGGGTGTGTGGGAGCTTTCTTCTCATCCAGATTGGTTACTTGACACACAGGACAAAGTCCCTGACCTGAACATCCAGAAGGGAGGGAAGGGGGCTGCTCTGGTTCACAGTTCAAGGGTGCTCTCCATCATGGGAAGGAACAGTGGGAAGTAGGAGGAACCTGAAGCAACTGTGTCCACCGCTGGGCTCGGCTCACTTTCTTGTTTTTCATTCAGTTTGGCTTCAGCCCATGGGGTGGCGCTGCCCACATTAGCGTCTGATTCCTACCCCAGTTCACCGAGCTGAGAAACTCCCTCACAGACACGTTCAAAGAACTGTCTCCCCATGATGTCCTCAATCTCATCAAACTGAGAGTCAGGATTTGACAGTCACACTGTCTGTGGCTCGTTCTAGATGCCGGGGAGTGTTTCTCGCTTTGTGGCCACTGCAGGAACAAAACCTCTGCATCCTCGTTTGACTGGACAGTTAGTCTCCGTGTGTGAGCTGGCCTGCCCTCTTTGCCGGTGGATTTTTTTGCACCGTCAATTTCAGCCAACTGTGGATCAAGGAAAATAGGAAAAAACCTTGCAGCTGTGCTGAAAATATAAAGATTTTTTTCTTACTACTCCCTAAATAGTGTATAGTTGAACAACTACCATGCCTTAGGCATTACAGGTCATTCAAGTTGTGATTCTGTCTAGAGGAGGTTGTGTACAGATCATTGCAAATATAAGGGACTTGAATACCATGGGTTTGGGTGTCCCTTAAGGATCCTGGAACTGATTCCCACAAGGGCCCTGAGGGGCAAATGGTGCTTCACAAACCACAGCTGAAACCATCTTAGATATTGCAAAGAAAGCGGCGTCTCTCTCCTCAATTCCTTCTGTCAACTAAGATCCAAAAATGGGAGACCAGAAAGTTATATCTCCGGCTGAGACAGTCATCCTGTTTTATGGTCTCTTTCAAAGTCACACTGCACCTGTATGGCCTAAGTTGCAAGGCCTTCACCATCTGGTGTCACAATAGACAGGAGGGACATTCGCTGTTCAGAGCTGGGTAGATGGTCTCGTGATCCACTCTTCCCTCTGTCAGCTCATCTCTGTGGTGCCAGCACACCCACTTGTCCTTGACCCTCCATGGCCTGTGGAGACACTAAGAGAAAGTGACTATTCTAATTCAGGCTTGCTTATCTTCACTCTTGACCTGGGGTGGTGATCTGGAGCCCACTCTGTGACTAAATGTGGCAGGTGGGGTCAGCAGAAGGTGGAGAACTGTAGAAGAGACTTTGCCTCCCAGGGTGAGAAACATGGCAGCTCCAGGAGGGCTGAGGGGCTGGGGTTGACTCCCCTCCCTCCACAGAAAAAGGGATGACGTGCTGCTCCATCTCACTCTCCAGGAAGTAGGTCCCTTATCTTTTCCCAGTGTGTCTTGGACGGGCTGTGTTTGAGGTGTTGTTCCGTGGGAAGGTGAGTGGTGGGTGCCCTCAGGATCCGGTGTGGCTAATTCCTCCTGTCTTCTTCAGATCTTGAAACCTGCAAGTGCCCACTCTCCAACCCAAGTGAGAAGCCGGGGAAAGTCCCTGTCTCCACGAAGGAGACAAGCAAGTCCTCCAAGGAGGCTGGGCAGGCGAGACAAATCGTGAGTGTCATTTTCTCTTTTCTTGCACACACATTTGCAGGGTGTCCTGGCCTGTGGGGATAAAGCTGAGTCCTCTCTGAGGGGACTCTCTATTCGCAGGTCATGCATAGAAACAGTGCTATGGTGCAGGCCATCCTGGGTGGTGCTCTACTGAGGATGAGTTGAACATACAAATGGAGGGAGAGGCCAGGAAAGACCTAAGAACGGAACACTGGAAACAGAATTAGGAACCTTGGGTCTGGAATCAGCTTAGCTACTTAGTAACTGCCATGGCATTTTTGTGACTCTCCTGGGTCTGAGTTCAAATTTGTCTATTTCAGAGACCTGCATTCCTTTGTTCCCAGCAGGATATGGTTGCTGTCAGCCAGTAGTGTATCCAGAGATGCTTGCAGACTCTTCCTTGTCCTTGGCTAACTACCATAGGCTGGTGACGCTGCTGTAGCTCCTTAGTTCAAAATGGCTCATATAGGACATGACAGTTGAACTGTTGAGGGTCTCCAGAGTAACCAGGGATGACTAGCTAGCAAGTCCCGAGGCCACAGTCACATAAACACTAAAATGTTGCTGTTTGCTAAAATAATGACAGTGGCTTGTCACAGTGGCCCCTTGCATACTAGGAACTAGGGCAATACACATAAGTCTTGGTTGAGTTCCTCCTTAGCCACACGGTAGCCATGTGGTCAAGCAGACCCTGGTCCCAAGGGAACCAGAGTTTGCATTTGTAAGAGGCTAAGAAGGATTTCTCACCTGTCATTCAACATTGTTGAACATATCTGATTAGATCACATGGTAGTTGTGGCTTCTTAAGGGTAAACCACTTTCACAAAAGCATGTTCTGATCAACCTGTTCATCGAGTCAGCTATGAAGGGAAGGTTCTGCAGTGTTCACTTCTGGATAAGAGTTTGTTATCTTGGTCCCACGTCCTGTAGCTTGTCAGTAAGGGAGCCAGCACAACTCCCTAGACTCTAGGGAGGTGATAGGCGAGAGGGGTGCTTCTGTTTGGGGATAACAGGACAGGACAAAGTGTTTCAAAGAAGATTCTTGCTTGTCACTCCACATACCACTGCCCCCCCCCAAGGTTTAGCATGGACAACTAGAAGACACTTGCTAAAATGACAGATGTCCAGGAGTCGGGAGAGGGAGTCCAGGTTTTCTACGGCAAGAAAGGCTGAGATGTGGATGCTCCAGCATATGGCCATTTTCTTAGAGAGGCCAATGGCGTCTCACCTTCCATGTGTGGCCTCACAGTCTTGCCCTCAATGCCTGTCTCTGACCTTGACACCCATCCTCACCATGTCATCCTGTGACCTTGACACTCACCCTCACTTTGTCACCTCTGACCCTGACACCCACTGTCACTTTGTCACCTCTGACCTTGACACCCATTTTCACTTTGTCATCTCTGACCTTGAGACCCATCCTCAGCATGTCATGTCATCCTGTGACCTTGACACTCACCCTCACTTTGTCACCTCTGACCTTGACACCCATCCTCACCGAGCCCAAGCTCTCTTGACTCAGTCACCCACTCCAGCTGTGCTGCCATCTCAGAACTGTGAAGAGAGAGACCCTTCCTGGCAGGTCTGTGACACAGACCCAGCAGCAGAAGGGAGGCCTGTCTTTTGATCTATTGTCCCCTCTGTCCATGAAGGTAACAGTCATTAGTTCCTTCGAAGCTCCCATGAGCAGTAGGGTTTGAGCTGCCCACAGAAGATGCTTTTCTCCAAAGAACCTGGGCCAGTACACAGGAGCGGCACTCCTCTCAGCCAGTGATCTCTGCACAGGATGATAGCCATTGGCAGGTCAACATTTCTTAGTCAATGTTTCTGGTTGGATTCCCTGGACCCATAGGAACTCAGTGTAAGCAGAGGTGTGGGAATTTCTTAACCAGTAAAAGAAATTGAGTGACTGCAGGCAACAGGGCAGAGTGGCAGTTGGGACGCGGTCAGGAGTCTGACGGTGATGGTTTGATGTAGAGGCAGGGGAAAGTATGAGTTGAAACTGCAGGCTCTGAGGTGCTTCTCAGGCTCCCAGGAGGAATGTTCTAGAAAAGGCCAATGGTAGAGACCCGGGGCTTAAGGACAGCTTTAAAATTGAAGGCTCCTACCCAGAAGTGACAGTTCAAACAGTGGTTCATTGGTGAGAAAAGAAGAAGGCAATGAATAGCTCTGGGGAGGCCAGAGAAAGGAGAGACCAACACGGAGATGAGGCAGGGATGGCCAAGAGGGAGATTCTGGCTCTCTGTGTGCTGTTACCCTTGTCAACGGTGAGTGTTAGACAGCGCCCCCTGCTCTATGTTGTAATAAATATGTAATCTCAGTCAGGGGTTTCCACCTCACCTTTGATCATTCAGTCCCCAGATAAAAGACATTAAATATTTAATCTCAATCAGGGGTTTCCACCTCACCTTTGATCATTCAGTCCCCAGATAAAAGACATTAAATATTTAATCTCAATCAGGGGTTTCCACCTCACCTTTGATCATTCAGTTCCCAGATAAAAGACATGTAGCTTTTATATTTATAATAAGCCTTAATATAGAGCTGGGCAGATATCTCCCCTCTAAGCTATTAGTTGCTCCCTCCCTATCAGTAAGCCGAGTTATGATTTGTTCCACATGGGCTGCTCTTAGCTCCAATGGCCAGCCCATGTGGACAGTTCTTATGATTCCTTACCCCATGGTGTCTTCCTCTCTTCTTCTCCCTCCTCATAGTTCTCTCCCTTGGGATTTTCCTCCAACCCCAAGCTCTGGAACCAAAGACTCCACCTTTCTCTCTTCTGCCCAGCTATAGGTTAGCTATAGCTATAGGTTGTAGGCATCTTTATTCATCAATCAGGGATAACGGGGGGGGGGCAAGGTTAATTGTTACTTGGATCTACGTGGGGATTCTCTCATCCCTGGGGGCAACCAGGCCTTGGGGACCAGTATTTAGTATTACAATACATAGCAGAAGACCAGACCTCAACAGCCCTACTCTGGGGAACCCACTGACCCTTCTGCCCACCTGGTTCATTGGAGAACCTGGGAGTGAGGAGAAAGACTGAGGGCAGGTAGTGGCCCCTAAGCTAGGAAGGATGGTCTCCAAGAAGAGGGGGTTTATTTTTGTCACCCTCCTGCCTTCATGCCCCATGGCCCACTTCACCCCCATGATGGGAGCTTCAGGAGGACCAAGGTAAGAACTCGTGATCCAGTGGCAAAAGTATCAACTCAAAAACAGCATGGGCAGTGAGGTTTGGGGGAGGAAGAGAAGATATTGAGGACTCTGGGGGATCTTTGGAGCAGTGTGACAGGGCTAAGCCTGTGGAAGGGAGAGCTGGGGAGAGCCAGGAGGACAGCACACAGGATGAGCCCTGAGCTGAGACCCAGTGAACCAGGAATGTGGCTTGGGGAAAACCATTTCTTTGGGCCTTGGTTTCCTTACTTTGAAGAGGAGTGGAGTTAGAGTAGATTCCTTGAAGTACGTTGTAGAACGTAGTGTTTTCCCTCTGGGCTTTTTCCTTGCAGAACTGAAGAGAACTACACTGTCTTTGCCGACCAGGTGGAAATAACCGGGAGCAAGAGGTGAAGGTTCAAAAAGAAAGTGGTGAATTCAGGAAGCAAGGTTTTGGGGCAGCCAGGGTCAGAGGGATGCCACAGTGCAGGCTTAGGGGCAGGGAGGGGCTCGAGTGGCTCCAGGTAGACAAGTAACCAGAGAGGCCTTGTGCCAGGGGAAGGAAGTCATGCTGTCTGGAAAAGACAGCCGTGGTTGCAGACTGCACAAGGCCTAGGCTGAGGGCCTCACTGACTGTTGGATCCTGGTTCTTAGAGGGGCCTTGTTCTAAATCAGAATGGGGGGAAATCACTGTTCCCTGGAGCTTCTGACACAGCAGCCATGGGACAGAAATCTGAGCTTTTATTTTTGACAATCCCTCAGTTCTGCTGCTGGGTGGAGACCATAGCTTGAGGTCCCCAAAGTCCCTCAGCAGCAGACCCACCTCCACTGGGCTTTACGAACCAAGGCAAAGAGTTTACATTAACAACCAGCGTGGCAAGATGAAAGTGTTGAAGGCCAGTCAGACTTGTCCCGCCCTGGCAGGCCTCTGACTGAGATGGTCTCCAGGTAAACTTGGCTTGTCCCCATGCTCAGGCCTCACTGAAGTTGATCCGGGAGGTGTCTCTGAGTCACCCTCACAGAAGTCAGAAAGACACTGACTTCCCTTGCCCCAGACCCTAATCTCTACTACTTTGTCACGCAGCCAAGACAGTCGACCACACCAGCGCTTTCATCTGCCTCCGAGGAAGACAGCTGTTAGACAGCTACAGTTGTGAGTTCGAAGCTGCGGGTGCCAGGGCCCTTCTTATCCCCGTCCCTCCTGACACTAGAGTGTCCTGAGAGTGGAGAGAAGGACCAGGAGGAGCGGGGTCCCCAAGTGTTTCCCTCCCATCCCCTTCCTATTGCCACCCCTACCACACCCCTGCCCCCAGAGGTCTATTGCAGGGTCGGGACAGTCATAGGCCAGTATATTGTAAACATCTCAAAAAAAAAAAATGGGGTGGCTATACCCAACTCCCTAGGCCCTCAGATTCAGGCCCATATCCATAGCCTTTCTTCCTGGCTGAGCAGGTTCCCAGGAGCCCCTCATTAACTCTTTCCAGTGGGGAGTGTGGGGAAGGGCTCTATCTGTAAGTCAGGTGGCCTTGGAACAGCGTGGTCATCCGGAGCCCTGCCCTTGTGGGGCCTGAGGAAAGTGCCCTGCCCTTGTGGGGCCTCAGGAGAGTGCTGCAGAGCTCGGAAAGCCACGCTCTTCTCTGCATCAGAAGTCCGGGCCACTTTGCTCTCTCTCCGAATCTGGAGGTTAGGAGGACCCTCAAAAGGGTATCTATGGAGGCTTCTGTTTAAAGTGGACTGAGGTGGGCGAGGAGGGGACGGTCTCCCCGGTTCCTCTCATACCTTGGCTCCCGAGGGGCAGGACTAGGGAAGGAAGGTCTCGTGCAGCCATGCAGGAGAGGGAAGGACGACAAAAGACAGAAGCAAAAGAAAGACTGGGGAGCAGGGACCACAAGAGACATGAGAATTCCTCCCTCTGCAGACACATACATCTGCCATAACCACAGGCTAGACCAGCATCACAGGCTAGACCAGCACCCCTGACATATGTCAACAAAAAGGCTCTTCTCCTCTGCCCATAGCCTTCCTCAGACTGGCTTTGGTCCAGCAAACTAGTCTTGCTTTCTAAAAAGGAGAATTTTGACCATACCCTAGTGGCTTCAGACGCTGGGCTCGCTGAGCTGGTCCCCATCAGGAAAGTCTCTTGGATGCTACTGTCATGCTGTTATCTCATCTTTACCTAAGGCCAGCAAGTGTTTCTAAATCTGCTGAGTGCTCAGGGAGGAAAAGAGCTGCAGTTGGCCCGAGGCTGTCAGCTGGGCCCCATACAGAGTTCTAGGGGCATCTGTTACCACTCTGCTAGCAGCAGGAGAGAGCCGCTGCCAGCTCGCCATTCCTCTCGGTCTTAGCACTTGCCTGAATAGTCCCTTTAGGAACATCTGTGTCACTGGGTTGACACCAGAGTCAGCTGAGTGGGATGGTAAGAGTGACTTCACCAGCCTCAATTAAGATCAGGTTTCTAAAGAGGGACAGCCTTCCCTTCCCCCAGGGGCTCATCAATGCTCCCTCAGAGGGTTTTGGTCTTACTGTCATCACTACATTTATAGATGTAAGAACACACATACATGTGAGGGGCAGAGGACAACCTGTGGGTTCTTACCTTCCACCGTGTGGGTCCTACTTGGTGACAAGTGCCTTTAAGGACTGAGCCACAGTCTCTGTCCCCCAAATGTCGGAAGCACCTTCTACACCTTCTACAATATGCTTCTTTACCTCTCAACTCCACCCACCAGGGGTTCTTAGAGGGAAGTGAGGGAGGAGATTGCGGTCTGTGGGTCTGTGTTTCAATGCTCCTGTCAACTTAAACCAATTCCTTCCCAACTCTGGGGGTCAGTTCCCCATAGCTCCTTTCTCACGGTTGTCCACAGTGCCTTTTGAGTGGGGTTAGCTCAAGAGCAGGTTAGCCAGGGGAGCTTGATGTGGTAGCGAATCCATTTTTTTTTCCAGTTACTTGAGAGGTGGGAGCCAGGAAGATCATTTGTGTCCTCAAGTTCAGGACCAGTTTAGACTATATTGAGGCAATCACTAGAAAAGAGGGGCTGGAGAAACAGCTCAATTGACTGCTTGCTACAGAAGCCTGAGGTCCTGAGTTCAGATCCCTGATACTACGTAACAAGCCAGGTATGGCAGCACACATACTGTAAGCCCACTGTGTGGGGCAGGGGAGACAGGGTGATTTAAGGCTTTCTGGAAGCCAGCTTATCTCAGTCTACAAGCTGAAAGTCCAGTGAGAGACCCCATCTCAAGAAAATAAAATTAAATTAGGTGAAGTAATTAAAGAAGATAACAGGTTAGCCTCTGGCCTCCACAAGCAATGGGCACACGTGGACACACGTGGACACACGTGGACACAGACCTCCACACATATCCTCACACAAGCATCTATAGGGAAAAAAATGGCAGAGAAGACCATCTCTTCACTGGGACCAGCTTCTCCAAAGGCCAACTTTTTCTTTTTTCTTTTGTTGCTTTCACTATCCTTTTGGCTATTAACCCACAAAGGGTCCTCAGGTGTGTCCTGGAAGCCACTCTTCAAGGTTTGTAGCCAGTGGTCCTGTTTAAAGTAGCAGATCTCTAGGGCACGATTGGACCACGCCAGTATTCCCCTTAAGGCCTTGAGCTCACTGACACCACTGAGTGGTGTGCACATGTCCACTGATATCCCAACTGTGCATCACTGTGGGTGTCCCAGGAACCATGAGAAGACACACAAATGTGGTGGGGGCCAATACGTGCCACCACCCACAGGAGTCTAAGTAGGGTAGTAGCAAGTTGGTAGATTTAGTGACCACTGTGAAGTTCTTTCATAGAGAATGATTATGTATCAAGATGTCAGAATCTCCTAGTGGCTACTTGAGAGGCAGGAGGATCCCAAGTTCAAGGGCCGCCTGGTAACTGAGATATCATCTTAAATATAAAACAAAAAGGGAGTTGGGGAGGGTTCAGTGGCACAGTGCTTGCCTACCACAGGAGAGTTGTGTTTTAGGATGGTCAAGCTCTTCTTAGAGAGACAGGTTGCTGAGCCATGGAGTATGCTGTCCAGTTGAGAGCTGGACTACTTTCCTGTCAAGAGGAAACAATTTGCTACAGAGAAATCGTTCAAAGGTTTTAGAACTTTCTTATGCCTGAATTTTTGCTTTTTAGCACTTAAGATAAAGTGTCATTGGATGTCATTCAAAGACATCGTTGATGCTCTTGTGAAGATGACAGAACTCCTGAAGTAGAACTCACCAGCGTCCTAAATCCCTGTTACTGTCTTGGTCATGTCAACCCACGGTGACAAGGGGTTCATCAGATATTATTGGAAGCTTTCAGAATGCTTACACAGTGTTATCCTGGAAAGCTGCCAGTACTGTAACTGGTGTCCTTACAGTGCTTGTGAATGTGTAAAATCAAGGTGCATTGCCCGCTGTGGTGGCACATGCCTTAATCCCAGCACTCAGGAGGGAGCACTCCAAGTGCATTAGGAGTTTCCTCGAAAAGATGCTGTGCACTGGGTAGTCATGTGCTATGGCGTGTGGTTTCAGTGATTTCTGAAAGGTGCACTGTCCCAGTCCGAGCTGCTGCTCCGGTCTGCGAGTGAGGGTCTAGCAAGAGAGAGAGTGGGGATGGAGGGGCAAGAAACGTGAAGAATGGAGACAAGACAGAGAGTCTGGTCAGGTCTCACTTATTGAAAGGAAATCCTGGATCTATATAAGCACAAGCAGGGGCACGCAGCTGAAGATACTTTACCACGTGCACCTTGCAGCTGGGGGCATTAAACAGCAAAACAAGATATATGAGAAAAACAAGATGTTTATCAGAGTATGCTCAGCTGTTTCGGGCTGTTGAAAACAAGTCTCTTATCAGGGTATATGGCTCGAGATGGCTGCAAAGATGATAGCCACTTTCTGCTAGGAGTCAGCTCCCAACAGTGCACCTCAATATTTTTTTTTTTTTGAGACAGGGTTTCTCTACATATCCCTGGCTGTTGTAGAACTTACTCTGTAGATGAGGCTGGCCTCAAACTCAGAGCTCTACCTGCTTCTGCCTCCTGAGTGCTGGGATTAAGGCATGCGCCACCACAGAGGGCAATGCACCTTGATTTTACACATTCAAACCTACAATGTGAACCATCTCTCAGGGGTAACTGAGGATGTCCACCAAAACTTAAGTCTCCTTGTGATCCTTGGGCTCACTGTTATCAAAAGAATTTGGCTTAGTGTCCTGTATGATATGTGACTTGTTAGGACCTGAGAGGTACTGGGTTTCAAAGGTTGTAGCCCTGAACTTGGTGCTATGCACCTATAATATCCAAACATCGGAGATTCAGGCTGGAGTTCAAGGGTAACCTGGGAAACAGTGAAACCCCATCTCAAAAAAAAGTGAGTCTGATTAGCTGTGCTGTGGTGTTTATTTTCAAGGGTTTTTTTGGGGTTTAGTTTTACAAAGTTAATGTGATTAAGTTCAAGTGTAACAGGCTCATTTGATACCAGAGATGCTTTAAATGTCTTAATTGAAACCCTGTAGAACTCCTTAAAGCCTGTCAAGGTAGATCAAGAACTGGAGCCAAGAGTGTGGGTGCAGGGAGCAGGCGAATATCGGAAGGGTTAGCTAACCACACTGGAGGCCCTTGAAGAACTTCTTTCCTGTATGCTGGTCCCTCTCTACCATCCTTCTGCCTTTACCCTTAGGCCTGCTCTGACCGAGAAGGTGGCTGACCTCAGCACTCTGAACGAAGTGGGCTATCAGATCCGGATCTAGCCGAGCCAGGCTGGCAAGGTTTCTATTGGTGCTCTTCTCTGCACTTTACCCAGCAGCTTCAGGAGGAACTGCAACTTGTGGAGTTATGATTTTGAAGGATTTACCTGGAGATAGAAGCTGAGTGGGTTTGGAAAAAACTCACTGGGCAGCAGGCGTGACTGGGCTGAAGTGACGGACGAACCCCTGGGTTGACTGACTCCCTCACTCAGGATCTCAAGAACAATGTTGACTGCAGTTTTCTACTTTTCCATTTGCCGACTGTTGTGCTTGCTCTGGACATTCTGCCTCAGCCGTAGTAACCGTTTGTGGAGTTACTCTCACTTTTTGGTACAGTAGGCAACTCAGCCAGTATTACCGTCTTCTCAGCAATAACAAGCAAAGATGGGTGGGTTTTTTTTAAGCAGTTGATATTACCTCAACATTTTGGCATCAGATATGCAATCTTAATGAGTTTTTTATATTCTATTTGTATTGTTTTCCTATAGGGATCTCGATGGTTTGGAGGGTTTTTTTTTTTCCTGGTTCACACATGAGATGAGATTTAAGTTGTTATATGCAAATGCTTTAGAAGCACTGAAATTCTGGCAATAAGGGAAAACACTTTAGGATCTTGGAGTCACTTAAAGCATCTGCTGACAGGTTTTCTTCTTCTAAGAAGCATGTTAAGAAGCTCTAGTCCATGCTGTTGCTAACATTTAAGCCTTTTCTGAGGCAAGCAAAAAAGCACAAGAGACCATGTGCTCCCGAAAACGCAGCACTGCCAAGACTTCCCAGACAGGAGGGCAGATGTCTGCTCAGCCTTGGTTCCTAGTGGCTCCTTGTTGTTAATGTGTTGTCTCAGATGAAGGCAAACATGATGATGGACTGTTTTCCAGTAGCTTGTCTTTAGATACCACTTCGTGACATTAGGAGGCACGGGGGAAACCAGGACCTCAAGGAGCAAAGCCTGTCTTAAAAGGAAAAGTTCCAGCCCAGTGCTGTGCCTCAGTGTTACCTAGGCCTTCAAACAGAATGAGCCTGCCTGTGGCCACTACAGCGCAGCAGACCGCGACAGAGGAAGCAGAGCGTCAAGTCTTAGTGCAGTCAGGATGCCAGCTCAGGACAGCAGAGGACCAGCTCCAGCTGAGTGGCCAGCCCCAAGAGCTCGGCATGCTCCCCTCTGGCTGTGACTGGGAACCTCTAAGAAGTCAACTGTCTGCTCACTGAGTCTTCACCAGGAAAACCTAGGGCCATAAGGAGGGCAAAAGCGTGCGCAAAAAACCCCTCACCCCACTCTAAAGCTAGCATTATTAATGAAAAGTTTTCTGGGAAAAACTTGGTGTCCTTTAGAGGACAGGACCTAGAAACTAAGAGTATAAGCTTCACGTTATGAACTCAATGGCTTTCTTCAAGAATCCTGTTACCAGAGTTCAAGGAGAGTTATGGGGCCTGGGCATGTGCTCGGAGGCTCCTCTGGTTTGACACTCAGCACCCAAGGAAGCGTCCTTTCTCCCCGTGTCCTCACATGCTACCGTTGTCAGCCTCAGGGCTGTGTGCATTGAAATGTTCCAAGAAGCAATCTGGTAAGCACAGCCACCAGGCCAAGTGCTTGCAGCTGCCTGTGTTCAAGGACAGCTCACAGGAACAGAGCGCCAGTGGGACAACCACTGTTGGCAGCCAGCTGTGACACTGTCGTTTAATCTCTTCCACAACTACTTTCTGATTTTTAGGTTCATTTTTCAAGGCAAGTTTAGTCACAAACATTTAAAAAGCTCTTTGTCACTCAAGTTTACTGCCTGTAGTTACACCAACTTCCCAAAATAGAAGGAAGCCTGACATTCTAATGCAATAGTTTATTGGGATAATAAGGTGGCAAAAATGAATGCAGCACGTCTTCCCTCTCAGACTGGCCTTTCAGCTCGGCTGTGGTGAAGATGAATGTATGAGCTGACAGGGACAGGTTTATCCTTACACCCCATGGCAAGATGCACACACCTGAACGACAGGTTTAAGTTGACTGCTGTTGGTTGTGAAAGGTGGCCTGGGTGTTTTCTGCACACGTGGGGACCGAGAGCACACCCCTGTCCTCGAGTCAGCTGTTCCATAGGGTGTCCTCAGCAGACATGGGTAAACAAAGGAAACCTTTGCAGCCCTTCAGCTCACTAGACGAGGCTTTCGTACGCTAGACTTTTATGTGCAACCTTGTACAGTTTTTTTGACATACACTTCAGATTCTTGTTTATTCTCTTAGACTTTGATCTGGCCAATACATTTTTTAAAAATATTTCAGAAGAGCCGTGATTGTTTTCGTGGGTATTTTTCTAAGTACATGAAGACTTGATGGTATTCTATAGAACACCACAAGTGCATGCTTCTGACTCGAACCTCTCATCACGTGTCCACACACAGCATGGAACTGTAATAAAACCATTCTGGAAACTGAAGGACTCCACGTGTTTTCTTGCTGCTTTGTCCTATTGAACATATTGACCATGTTCTTTCCTCTTCCAGACTTTGTTAAATATTACTTTATTTTTGCTCACGTCAGTCACTTGCCTTGTAGCCTCATCCTAACTGATAGTGGCTGAAAAGGTAATCCAAGAGTTGAGGAAGGTGACAGGCCAGTGTCTACAGCTCAGCACTTACCACAAAGCCCAACAGATATGCAGATATAATAATTTATTACAGCTTACAGGTACAAAGTACAAAGGACTCTATGTCTTATAACTTTTTTTTTACCAAAAGATTAAAAACTAGCAGATGCTCAATCCTGAAAGACAAGATTTCAAGTGTCTATTGTCTTGATGGCAAAAGGTGCAGTAAAAACTAGGATGTCATCACACGTTCCCTTTGCACTTACAGCCTGGCCAGCACGAGGCTGGGGAGATGGCTTAGTTAGGGGTCTGAGTGTGATCTCCAGGACCTACGTGAAAAGCAAGGTACCTACATGTAGTCTCACATGAGGAAGGCAGACAGGATGATCTCTCAGCTTTGCTGGTCTGCCAGCTTCCCCTACTTTGGTATATTCCAGGCCAGCGAGAGAACCTGTCTTAGAAATAAAAGGTGGATGGCTCCAGAGGGCTCACCTCCGGCTCCTGAACACACATGTGCAAGCACACACACACACCAGGCTTATGGACAGTTCACACTTTAGCCAGTGAGAGGTCTGACTTCTGCAGCCAGTCAGATCAAACTGTGCTTGGCAGGTAAACACAAGGCCTAGAGGAGTTGCCGGCCCCTCTCTGTCCACAACAGTAAATAGATAATTTTTATTGGAGTTTTAAAAGCTTGTGAGAAGTGTTGTGTGGCCACAGATTAACAATAATAAACTAACAGCAATTTATGAATTGTATCAAAGTGCTGTACATGAAATAGGCCTAAATTCACATTCATCAGGATATAAAAACTTTACAAAGGTTTTTATGAATGTTAGTTTGCCTTCAATGATGTCTACACAAATTCACTCAACACACCCTCCGTATTAAAAAGAGACAATTACCATTGTAATTTGATAATGACCATGTCTAACTGGGACCCTTAATACCCCACAAACTACTATTGAAAACTGTGGACCATCTCAGCTATATTAATACTCTCCAGGAAAAGCAGAGTGAGCTGGTTGGCTTGCTCAGTGCTCACCAGGCACTTCTCAGTCTGCACACCTCTGAGGCAGTAGTCTAGTACACAGAAAATAAATGGAATACATGAGTTAAAAATTTAAATTGCAAAGATTTATTGTCTAAAACATTTTATTAATAAAACTCACTGTAGAAAACATTTATTACTGCACAATAGTGACATAGTAAAAATGCCTGTAATCTGAGCCTACTGTTTTAAAAAGTAGAGAATTTCTACTTACATTTAGAATTCTATTATTCGACACTTGTACAGGTCAGGCTGCTGTGAGGCTGCATGGGCAGCATGAGTGCCATGGCACACTGCTGCACCATGGGACCAGAATGCTCAACGCTACAGCCAACAGTTAGGCCCCCGGGTCTAAGCAGCACCTCCCCACGCTGACTCCTGCATGTTGGAGGCAAATGACACACAGCTGTGGAGCTCCTGCTTCCTGCCAAAGACCGCTTCTCTAATCAATTTATACAGAACTGGCTCAACAAAACGTCGCTCCTGACCCAAGGGTCTTTACCATTATTAAACAGAGAAGTACAGGAGACAGAGGTACGACATGGGGTCTGCTGCCTTTTGTTTGTCTTTGAGACACAGGACCTTGTGTGTAGCCCTAGTCAGCCTGGGACATATAGCAATCTTCCTGCTTCTGTCTCCCAGATGCTGGGATTAGGGATGTCTGTGGATGCATCTGGCCCATCTGCTTTCCCTGAGGCAACCTTTGCCCAGGACAGAAGTCGACATACATAAAGGACTTGGCCTATTTTTCTGTCTTAAGTCAGAGTTTCACATAGCCCAGGCTAGCCTCAAACTTGCTATGTTGCTAAAGCTGGCTTTAAACAGCTAATCCTCTTGCTGCCATCTTCCAGATGCTAACAGGATTGTAGGTATGCACCACCCTATCTCCTTAGGAGCTTTGCTCTTAGGAGAGTGACCTACACCTCTCAACGATTTCTACTACAAAATGTAGGCATATCCCGCAGCTCAGGGTGGAAGTGACGTGGGTCAAGTATTCTCTATAGCAAACACAGTGCCAAGCGTCTTCAGAAGCATGGACCCCTGTGGAGGAACAACCCAGTGATTTCTAAGAACAAGGACAGACTTCTCCCAATGAAATTAAGTCTTCAGAAAAGGCAGCAAGCTGACTTTGCAGGTCCCGACAGGACCACCGAGTATACTAAAAAGCACTGACTTCTGATCTTGAGGGCCAAGGAGATGAACTACATCTTTAAAATGCTGCCAACTTTACCAGGACTTAGAAGTCATCTACAATATCTTTAGACATCAGTTATCAGGAAAATATTTCATTAAAAAAGTACTTGTAAAATTTTCTCTTCCAATCTGTTTCAAGCATATAACAGAAATTCAGAACCCCATATCACAAAAATGAACAGCATGCAAATACTTAAAATTTTTACAGCCTTTGAAGAGAATATAGACAGGAAGTTCTGTGAGTGAGCAACAGTCAGAGCTCAAGCCTGAACTTGGCCAGCAAAGGCAGGTGGTCTGAGGAGTTGTGCTCATTGGGAAGGCCATTCACAGTCCACAAGTCTTGTTCTGTTAGAAGTGACAGTCTAGCTAGAAGTTTCAAGCCACCAACCAAAGCAACTTTAGCTCCTAGTTAAAGAAGCACACATTTAGTGAAACTGTCATTAAACAAACAAGTTTTTAAAAAAATAAACACTGAAACAGAACCCGAAGCCCACCAGAAAATTAATATGAAAGTTTTTAGAGTATAGTTTTATAAAGTTATTACTAACCAGATATTTTTTCTATTTCAAATTTTCTATTTCAATTCAATTCAATTAATACAGTTACACAATGTAACATAAGATTGTTAGTAATCTGAGATTGACAACCAGCCCAGTCTGATGCACAGAGCGAAGCCTGGCAGGGGCTGAGAGGTCATTCTCCACCCAAGTGAACGGTGACATGCTTTAGGGAGACTGGAGCTGCTGATTCCTGGCACTCTCCTGCCATCTAGTGAACTCTGTAGGCATGGCAACTTCCAGACCTTACTGAGAGCAGGACACACTGGGTTTAGTGAAACAATCTGATACTTTGGATTCCAGATACTAGGTTTTCAGTTATCTCAATGCTTTCTGTTTTAAATCCTTTGGTTGGCTTATACAACCCGATTTCTTGAGCTGTAACAGGAATGTGCTGCCCTCTTCTGTTTCTGAAAGCAGCCCCAGGGTTCTCTCCCTCAGGTCCACACACCCAGTGTCTGCTGTGGGCAGCACTCTGACCTGCTGAAAGCCATCACAGAGCTGTGGTTCTTCACCATCTTACTCAGTGGCTGCCACAGGGAGGCAGGATGTATGCTGAAGAGTGGATGGCAGCCTAGGACTTAGACTCTACTCTGACTAGCACTGAAGGGCCAACTGAGACTGCAGTTCTGCGAGGGTTTGTGTTGGGGCTTTTTACTGCCTTGTTCTCTGTAGGCAGTTAAGATCTGTACAGCCGCAGGAGCAGCTCATCCGTCAATCCCTATAGCTAGCCCTCTGCCTTGCTGCTGCACTCACCCCAGGCCCTGTATGTTCTAGCACTGTGTTCCCACACGCTCCTTACCTGGACCCTGAGCAGTGTCCTCCTTCTCTGCAGAGTAGAAAATATAATCGACAGTTATGGCACTTCGGGAATGGCAGGTGGTCACCTCTGGAACTCCAGTGTCAGGAACATAATGAGAATAGACAGATGACAAGCTGAAACCATGCTGTAGATGTGAGGACACTCTAAAGCAAAAAGAAAAGGGCTTAGTATCTGTCAAGATTTCATAGGAAAATTACCTTTTACTCCATTCTCAGACAAAGACTAGGATACTTCTAATTGTCTTTTCCAGACAAGGTCTTATAGTCTGGCCAGACTGGAACTTACTTTATAGCTTAGGCTAGCCTCAAATCTGTGGCAATTCTTGTCTCAGTTGCTTAAGTACTGGTATAAGTATAAGCCACCATGCCTATGTTTTTTGAAAGTTTATATAGATCAGGCTAGCCTCAATATCATTACACAGCCCAGGCTGGCCCCCTTTTCATGATACTTCTGCCTCAATGACCAGAATGTTATGATCACAAGTGTAAGTCCCACACCCGGCTAGATGAGTTTCACTTAAATAAATCATAATCCAAGTGAGAGCTCCTTTACTGATGTAGTGAATGTAAACAAATGGTATCTAAAACCCAGCAAAGGGGGTAAAAGTATCAATATGCTAATCAGATCTTAAAATCATACATGTGAGAGCCTCCATTTACATAATGAGCAATAGCTTGCACTTCTTGGCTGTATTTCTTTTTTCAGTGTTTGAGACAGGGTTTCTCCATGTAACCCTGGAACTCACTCTGTAGACCAGGCTGGCCTCAGACCTGGGAGATCCACCTGCCTCAGTGTCCTGAGTGCTGCTGGGATTAAAGGCATGTACCACCACTACCTGACTCTGGCTGTGTTTTGAAGGATGCTCTCAGTAGTCAGTGTGTGCAGGGCTACTTGGGACCATCCGGACCTCTGCTGGCAAAGAAGCCACCACAGGCCTGCCATGCTCTGCTGCCTCTCAGGACAGCCCCATAGTGGCTCCCACTCACCACTGCAAATACCCGGCATGTTACTGACAAAGGGCTAAAGATTATTCTCTAATATATCATGAATTTTAAGAGCCATTTATGCTATAAAGGAAAAATTCTATACACTCATTGTAGGTGCTGAGGTACACAACAAAAATTTGATCCTTTGGACTGGAGAGATGGCTCAGTAGTTAAGAGCATTGGATGTTCTTCCAAAGGGCCAAGGTTCAATTCCCAGCGCCCACATGGCAGCTCACAACTGTGACTCTGGTTCCAGGGGATCCAATATCCTCTCATAGACACACATACAGGCAAACTATCAATACACACGACATAACACTAAACCTAAAAAAATACGGTCCTTGATTTTTGTAAGCTAAGTCAATAAACACATCTAGGACTTATATTTATAGCATTACTAAATGTAACAGGTGGTGCACGTCTATAATTTCACATGTGGGAAACTGGAGCTAGCCTGAGCTGCACATTGAGACACAAAAGCAAGTTCAATCTCCTTCAAGCTGCTATGTTACTGTTGGTGTCTCAGTTTATAGACGAATGCTATACATACACACATTTGTCACACATCATATACAATGGCAGAGTTAGGGAAGGGCGTGGCAGCACACAGTGTGACTGTACACAATTCTTAGGAGGCTAAGAAGGGCAAAAGCTCAAGCTAGCCTGGGCTACACAGGTAAACCCTGTAATAAATCTAACTTCTCAAAACCATCATTGTTATACCATCTCTATTCCATCAATTATAGGGGAACTTTTGCTATATTTAAAAAGCTTATTCACTAAAAATTGCTTCTTTCCCTACTAGGTTATTTATAAGAATTTTTTTTGTCAAAACAACACATTCAATCTAAAACTGAAAAGAATGATGATAAATTGAAGGAGATAGGCTTCTAATGTGGGCCCTACATTTAAATGCAGAAGAAAAAATCTGAGTTGCAATATAAAATAAACATCTCCAAAATCTTAAAGAGACACAATCTAGGTCTGTCTTGATGCATTACCATACACCCACTGCAGCCACAGTCCAAGCATTCCTGTTTCCTTTGAAAGTGACTCAGGCTTGTCATTCTGCTTCTGCTGCTCTTCCTTCAGTTCAAGAGAAAACGACAATGCTCCTCTCTACAGCTGGTGTCTGGATCACGTTGCTCTTAGCCTGGGATCTAGTGAGTCAAATAAGACTAAGGGGCCTACAAAAGGGGAAGACACTTTCCTGTGATCTGGGCTCTTTAATTACATAATGACAGACATCTCAGGGTTCCTGGGCCAGTCCAGGCCCACGTGCTGTTTTCTAGAACACTGCCTAAAGTGTGCCAAAGCGTGAGACACTGCTTTACACACTTAGGCTCTGTGAATCCTCACAACCCAGAGAAGGAAACGGAACCCTAGAGATGTTTGATTCTCACAGCTAAAAAGCAGCAGTCAGACCTGGAATTCATGTGTATCTGTATTAAACCCAGCAGCCTTTGCAGCGTGGAACAGCACCAACTCCATTTTGATCCAAGTGTTTTCTGAGAGAGAATTTTTTTGCATTATTCAGTTAAAGTCAGGGACTGTGCACTGCTGCCTTCCAGAACTCACTTTTCAGCTGACTCCGGGACCTCTGCTTTCTCCTGCTGTGCCTGAGTCAGATCACTGTCTGAAAGAGCAGAGGGAATCGTATCAATCTAGTGTGCACACAGTTCTGTTCTAGTTAGTCAGAGCATAGCTTTCTCTAGAGTCAGACTCGTGTCTAGTGTAGATGTCTGGTTAAATGTTTGATCCTCTAGCCTATATTTTGATGGTCTACAAATCAGCGGGAAGTGCAAACAACTCTAAGGCAACATGCAAGTTACTCATGCACAAATAATGTTGGAATTTAACTTTTTTAAAAAAAGATTTATTTTATGTGAGTACACCATTGCTCTCTTCAGACACACCAGAAGAGGGCATCAGATCCCATTACAGATGGTTGTGAGTCACCATGTCTTTGCTAGGAATTAAACTCAGGACCTCTGGAAGAGCAGTCAGTGCTCTTAATCACTGAGCCGTCTCTCCAGTTCCAGAATATAACTCTTAAAAAGGAAATTTGGAGTACATAAAAAAAAAAGGATGAGCAAAAGCTATGTATATTTGTATACACGAACATTCATGCCAGAGATACTCAAAGTTTGACATCTTAGCTTTAAGATTTCAAAGGGAAGACCATTACCCAGCAGACTGCCAAAATGTTCCCACACTCACCTGTCTTGTCTACTTTGGGAACCTGCTGTGCCTCATAAACACAGTTCTGGGAGATGCCTAGGTTTGGGGGCCAAATTGGAATAGATAAAATTCTTTGTCCCCGTGAAGACTGTTCCTGGCCAGATACCTGCACAGAATTTCAACAGGCATCTTAAGTGAGCAGACTTTGACTATGTACGTACTGAAACGTTATGTTTGTCGTGGGAGGTGATCAGAAATGATAAGCAGGCCCTTCAGTCCCATCCAGATACAGTTCAGAAAGCACTCGTCATTACCTGGCAATGCAGGCTTTTCACATGCGTGTTTCCTCATGTGAACGTCTAAATGTCTATGGCTTCCCACGAATACGGTCTTACTCTTTCTGCTATCTGTAACATAGTTTCTACTGTGTCAGATGCTAAGCTCTAAAATCAAATTTCAAACTATCATTGAAAATTCTGTTGGTGAAGGACTTATTTTGGTTAAACATACTGAAAACCAGATGATCTAAAACAGGCAGAGGGAAGCATGGAGATATCATTCAAAGCCTAATAAAAATAACTCTAAGCTGAAGAGTAAAAGTATTTAGCATTGCACAGGAAATCTTAGTGTCCCGTAAAGGATAACTTATACAATGCATATTAAGTCACTGTCCTGCCCCCATCCAGCATTCAGAACTCCTCCTCTTCCCCTTGTGAAGGGTGCTTTCAAGTTATCCTGTATCCAAACTACCTTTCTACCCACTCATTCCTTTAGGTAGAAAGCTTTCCTAAGTAGAAAAGACAAAATGAAACCAAGTGAATAAAGCCACTGGCTCATGACTATGGGGGCCATCCTATTTCCTTGTGGAGAGGGTTTAGCTACCCAGTGTTTTCACCTAGCCATGCCATGACCGTCTTCACTCTGTAGACGACCACCCCTCATTCTGATGGTCAGAGCAGCCAAAGCCCACTTCCTAACACATGAAACGAGCACTTACCTTTCCAATAGCAAGACCTTCATAATTTAATTTTCCTTCCTTTATGAAGCTGTAGAGTGGAGAGCCAGGGACAGAATTGAAGTCACCACACATGACAATGGGACAGAAGCTGCCATCTTCCCGGTGGGCTACACTGGAGATCTCTGCTAGCAGCATTGCCAGCTGGGTCAGCTTAATGTCACCACGCCGTGGGTTGTACAGCAGATGTGTGTTAGCTATGCAGATGGATGGAGAGGCAGCACGTGGGATCTTGGGCTGCAGGAGTAACACTAATCCAATGTTGTCTCTGTCCAGCAGAGGAATATCCCGGCGGCAGAACTCGACGGGGTTCACAGACAGGAGTGAGAACTTGGAATGTTTGAAGCAGATGGCACAGCCATCGGGCTTCCTTCCTGTCTTCATCTTATATTCACAGTGATAACCTTATGAGGAATGAATTTTAAAAGAGAGACTATGTCAAACACATTTCTCTTAAGACTTTAAAGCAGCGTTTCCAAAGCATATTCTGTAAGACAGGATGCTAGGGCATATTAAAACCAAAGTGGAGGCTAGAATTGGGCCTAAGAGTGTTCCACCTTCAGCACTGAGGAAGATAAATTCTGACCAGTCTCATCTTTTCCTCTTTTGGCAGTGGGAAAGGTGCTACAGATCATGGTGGCTACATCCCCGGCCCAAGGGTCTTCTGAGACAGGGACTCACTATGGTCCTCAGGCCATCCCTGAACTTGTTATGCAATTCCAAGAGGCCTTAAACTCCTGATAATAATGCTTCTGCAACCCAAGTGCTGGGATTACAATGAGGCTCACTACAGCACACACCTTATAACGTCAGGCAGGGAACGGTCTTATAGACTTGTCATGCAAGCATTTGTAAGGAGGTGAATTATGAGTGTGAACCAACCTGGGTCACACAGCAAGGCCTTGTCTCAAAAACAGTATGCCTAGGTTTCTTTAGGGCAGGTTTATCACTCCAACTCAGTCACAACAAGGACAGTAAGGCCTCACAGTAACTACTCTGGTCTTTGTGTTCTTCTCCCAACCTCACTCTCTGTGCCCACACTGCCTGAATCCATGTTGTCATCAGAGCCTTCTCCTGACAAGGATGCTCTAGGTATGGCTCCACTTTCTCCTCCAAATCCTTGTCTAAACTTCACCTTGTCCATTCATTTTGCTGAAAATCTAAATCTTCCCCGTCTGTTTTCCTTGCCTACTGTTCACTTACACACATCCCACTAGGGAAGAGGCCAGCTGTGGAGACCAAAGCTGTTCTCACTTCTAGAACAGTCTGAAGGTCAGCAGGTACTCGGAAGGCACCTGATGAATGAGTGAATGCCGCGCGGGCATGGCTCACGCTTGCTTCATGCCTGGAGATGAGACGATTCTTACAGCTGCTTCATCAAAGAAGCCATGGGAAAGCCTCCTGGTGATGAGGTAGGTAGCCCAGTCCCTCATCTGCAGCACAGACCCACAGTGGTACAGTAGCTGAATGACTCCTGGAGCCCTTTCCCTTTAAAGATCAGCATGCAATTTCCAGCACTGGCTGCTCTTGAAGATGACCTGTGTTTAGTTCTAGCACCTACATTGTGGCTCATAACTGCCTATTAACTATAATAGCATGGGGTCTACTTTTCTGGTCTCCATAGGCTTAAGGCTCACACATGGTGCACAGACATACAAGCAGACAAAACACTCATACCCATTAAATAATAAATAAAAACTAAAAGTTCTTCCCAGGGCTGGAGAGACGGCTCAATGACTAAGAGCACTTGCTCCTGCAGAGGACCCAGGTTTAGTTCCTAACACCCACATGGTGGCTCACAGCCATCTTTAATTCCAGTTCTAGGACGGACATCTGACCCTTTCTGATCTCCAAGGGCATCAAAAATGCAGGCAAAACTCTTACACAGAAAAATGAATCTTAAAGAGTTTTTTTTTTAAGTTATCCCCAAATGTATCATACATTTTTTTTGTTGTTGTTTAAAAACAAACAATTCTGCAAAAATAAATCTGGCTAAAGTAAACAAAGGTTACATTGTACCCAGTGATTCCAGACTTGGCCTGATCTCTTTCCCATAATGATCTTCTTGAACTTCCTGTAGACAAAGCACCTTGAAGAAAATACAGTGGCATGAATTAAAACAGATGCAAATATGAATTCTACTTAACTCTGACATAGTAGACATCAAAGTTGCATATATACTTTTTCTTACTTTTAGAATTAATGCTATTATTTTTTGTTTTTTTAAGACAGGGTTTCTCTGTGTAGCCTTGACTATTCTGGAACTGCTGGCCTTGAACTCAGAGATCTACCTGCCTCTGCCTCGTAAGTACTAGGATTAAAGGTATGTACCACCTCCACCCAACTTGCCTGCCTGCTTGTCTTTTTCTTCTTATTTTTTTGAAAAAAATTACTGCTCAAATATTCTATATCACAAGAAATGTTTCTAAATATCTTATAATACACCTCAAAACCATGGCCCACACTCATATGGAATAGCATCTTACCATTCAAAATGGTCTAGTTCTTGAAAGAACTTTTTATATTTTTTTATATATGAGGCTATCTTGCATGAATTTCCATGTTCATCATGACTAAATTTTTGGGTTCTTTTTAAAACAAAACAAGAACAGAATGTCACTATATAACCCAGATCAGTCTTGAACTCAAAGTGGTCCTTTTGCCTCAGCCAAGTATTATAGACATAGCGTCATAATTGACTCAGGATTCTTTTCTTTAAAATAACTATTTTGAGATTTTATGTATACAAATGCTTTGCCTGAATTTCTGTGCACCATGTTCATGCAATGACCACAGAGCCAGAGAAGGATGTCAGATACCTTGAAACTAGAGATACAGATGGTTATGAGCTGCCATATGGTTGCTGGGAACTGAACCCAAGTCCTCTAGAAGGGCAGTCAGTGCTCTTAATCACCGAGGCATCTTACCCAACCCTGTGCATCCTTTCCAAAGAGGCTGGTTTCATCCCAGCATCCCCAGCTCACCCCTTTACTGCCCCCGCACCCCCAAAGACCCCATTGTTTCTTTAGCTGGGCATGGTGACACATGCCCGTAATCTCAGCATTTCATAGGTAGAGACGGAAAATCAGGAGTTCAAAGGTCATCCTAGGTAAATTTGAGGCCAGTGTGAGGAATCAGAGATCCTGTCTCAAAACAAACAAATAAAACCAACTGGCATTCTTTAAATGCCATCGTCTTATTATGTAGATACATTTTTTGCACAAATTACTGAAATTTCAAGCCCAGTATTTTTATTTAAAATGCTTCCAGCCTGAGTCTCAAAGTTGATCAATACTTTGAAACATTGGGTGATTATTTCTATCTGTGACCAACAGCAGGAAAGCCACTCCTAGCTAACCACGGCTCCTTCCCCAAGAGGATGAAGTACGTAAAACGCCGCTCATGACTGCACACTCATCAACCTTACTTTCCTTAGATGAAGAGCTCTAATACTGCTTTGCACACTTACATCTGCATCAAAATGTTTGATTTCTTTCAAAATATTGGGAAACCGAAAACTCCAGTGTAACACTGGGCGTCGGCAATGTCTGTAGAGGTGTGAGTTATCCTCCAGTAAATCCTGCGAGAGGATGTTATAAGACATCACTGAGAAGTCAAACTTATCTTCACGGTCCTCACACGTGGAGTCAACATTTCTGTCTTCTAGGTTCTTCACATTCTCTTTATTATGGCTACATAAATATTCCCAATTCCTTTTTATTGTCCCTGTTAAAATATATTAGACAAAATATAACAATCAATCAAATGAGACCAGATACTTTCCTGTATACAAATACTTTCTTACGTAAAGAAAATGCCCACAGACACAGACTCAGGTGTTTCCCTAGGAAACAGCTACATGGCACTGACTAGCTGCGAGCGGTCATTGGGCGGGCTGGCAAGGCAGCAAATCCATATGCTGACTGAGGGTTGCCAAATCTTTCTGAAGGCTGACAACCTGAGTCTGTATGTGACTGCATTTTCCCATCTGTCCCTGGCTAAGACTTCTATCAGTCATGCTTAGCATTCTTTAATGCAAGGAGAGGGAGAGGGGGAGGAGGAAGGGGAGGGGGAGGGAGGGAGAGGGAGGAGAGGGAGAGGGAGAAGAAGGAGAGGGAGGGGGAGAGGGAGAAGAAGGAGAGGGAGGGGGAGAGGGAGAAGAAGAGAGGGAGGGGGAGAGGGAGAAGAAGGAGAGGGAGGGGGAAAGGGGGAGAGGGAGGGGGAGGGAGAGGGAGAGGGGAGAGACTGAGAGACTGACTCTGCCTGAGTTGGCTTTCCAGAGATGACGGCCCACCACATTTCATTCCTTTTTAAGATCATCAGTTACCTTAGCTCCGAAACCTGGTTTACACATGGATAGAGGGTGGTAAACTGACAATATGTGGGAACAGTGGTTAGTGTCTAAATGTTACAAGTGGGAAGTGCAGACAAAATGACAATCAACTGTCACAGATCCTGTGACATTACAGGATGAGCCTTGTAATGTAATGTAGGTACACCAAAACAACAGTTAGTGTTGACATTATAGAATGTTCCAGACAAACAGCAGAGGCTTCTGACTGAGCCTTGCATACATCCCCAGGAATGCACCACAGATCATACTATACAAAGACATACAATTCTTTGAAAAAAACAATAAAAGTGCATAGAAAAAGGTGAGATTCTGTAATTAAAGACACCCCTCCATTGAGAAATTATCATCTTCTGAGGTACATGTGTGCATGCATACATATACATGTATATATATGTGTGTGTGTACATACACACACACATATATGTATATATATACACACACACATATATAGTTACAACCAGGCTTAGTGACACATGTCTATAGTTCAGCACTCGGAAAACTGAAGTTCAGGGTTAGCCTGGCCTACATGTAGTGAGATTACAAAAACAAAACAACAACAAAAAACAACAATAAAAAACCAAGGTTGAGCACTTATCTGGAAAGCAGGTTCAATGCCTCCTGCCAGGAGAAAAAATAGCAACTACATTTGTTCACCTTTGGTCTGGATCTTACTATGTCACACTAGTGAGGACATGCTCAATGGCACGGAAGCCAGGAGAACAAGAAGGAACGTTTAGTTACACAGAAACTCAACAATAAAGAAAACCTAACATTCCTGAGAACAGACGTGGTGATGACGGTGATGGCCAGCCAAGCATACTGAGGGTATAGTGCAGCTTTTGGCTGCAGACAATCTTCCTCTAGCCTGCATGCAGGTTTTCATTTCACTAGACTATAATGCATAAAATTCTATTAAATAAAGTCTGGATATGGGGCTTATATCTGCAATCCCAGAACTCAGGAGGCCGAGGTAGGACTCCCAAGAGTTTGAGGCCAGACTAGGCTACAATGTGAGTCTCTGTCTCCAAAACAAAACCAAAACAAACCAAAAAGGAAATGGACTGAAATGGTACACTTATATGCACAGTGAAAAGGAAATATGCTACCATGTAAAAAGTCTTCTACATTCATACTCATAATCAAAATACACATACACTATGTACAGCTGCCAATAAAACATATTATGGTAATGAGTTATACCAGGTTACTTTCCTCGGTATCTAACCATCTCCCTGCTACTTGTAGGGCAGAGACATTTGACCAGACAGAAGATAATTGGTGAGGCTGAAGGGGATGAAGGAGCTGATGGTGTGAAGGTGGTAAGGGAAGGGCAAGACACATGTAGAAGGAAACAAAATCAAAGAAAAGTCTTCTGACAACTGCAGAATTCTGCCCCGAGCAGCCCCATGCCCAGGTGAGTGAAATAATTAGCCCTTCCTTCTCCTGCACTGAACATGGGGAATCTCATCCCAAAGGCTTACAATTAAGAATAACAGTACTAGCTCCACAGAGCTACACTGACAGACTCCATTCACCAACCGGGGTGTCCCATGACGGTTAGTCATACACTGCAGTCTTCATATATATAAACATCACGCTCTGTGTGAGCTTTCACCCACACAGAACCGTTCTGTCATTGGCTTTCAAACTTGTACAGCATGTGGAGCCCTTTGGCATTGCTTTTCATTTCACAAGGACACCACATCTCTGCTGAGGGAAAACACACAGTCCATCCCGACCACAGTTGATTATACTGACTAGGCGCAAGTGTGTTCACAGGTTCCATGGAGGACAATCTCAAAACCACTGACACTGTGAACAGTCTCTGGTCATCACATACTTTACAACATAAATTCACACTGCAAAATCTTATATACCTTCCATGTCAGGAGGAACAAGGTGATCACAGCAGAGAAGAGAGATGAGTCAAAGAAAGTGAGCAATAGGCCTGAGCAGGTATTGGGGTGCCTAATTAAAAAGTCATAATTGTATCATACAAATCCTTCAAATACCACTTTAAAGTGACAGGCAAATAAGTAATGCTGTTCTCTTGATTGGAAAGTATTAGTGAAATATCGGAAGTCACATATGTGGCTTAACGAAGAGCCTTTTCCTTATTCTCAACACCTAGGAGGAACGGACAGATAGAGAGTCAGGCAGCAGTCAGAAATTATCAGTATGCAGCTGTAATCCCCTACCATTTCTGGGAAAACTTCTGGGTAGCCACTATGAAGCCAATAGTAAGTGAGGCATGTACACATAGCTTGCTTTATCTTTAACAGATATTCAAAGTAGGAGTTACTTATTCCATGAGAAAACCAAGGAACACAGGTTCAGTGACGTCTCCGAGCTCATGCCACAGAGGCAGAGTGCACATGAGGGCCGGGAGCACTTCCTGAACTTTACAATGCTTGTGGAGCCTGTCAAAGTTCTATCTGAGAGAGACACAATTATCAACAGGTTGGCAAGAGACAAATGTGAGTTGGCCTGATCGGCAGCAGACACATACTCAAGAACAGCGGGGTCCTTCTGAGGACCAGTTTCAACGTCTCATAGGATTCTTATCTCCCTATGTTAGCGTCACATGCTATACACACAGATGTCCACAGCTACGGGCTTAGTCTCTATTTACATGTCTTTGTTTATTCCAACTAGCACCTTGTAACTGTAGCAATTAATCATTTCTGCCTTGGGATCCAGGTGGATCTTCCAGAGAACTTTCTGGCAACAAAGAACAAGGAGCTTGAACGGTGCGGCCTCAGGAGCTCGCGCTCAGTTCTTCCAGCTATACCTCAGCCCCTACACAGCAACTGCCACGCAGCCCCTCTAAAGCATCCTCATGAAAACTGGAGTCAGTAAGGAAGGCAGTCTTCAGTCTTACACACCTCATTATAAACTGGGTTTACACTGGGGTAGGAGACAAGAGTTGTCTACAAGTAAAAACAGGATGAGAAAAGTTGACAGAATCAATAGAGTTTTTTAAAGTTCCACAAAGTTGGCTAAGATATGGCTGCCTTTCTAAAAAGTAACCACTCTGACTCTCTCAAGAGTCTACCCAGGACTGCGACTCTAGGACTGTGTGTGTAGCTCAGGACCAGAACAACACAAGGTGCTGGGTTCAATCCCTAGCATTGAAAAAAGAAGAAAAATATATACTTAAGATGCTATATATTAAGTATGCTATATATAGCTTAAGTATATGCTAAATATATACTTAAGATTTACAGATGCTAATTTGGGAAAGATTTAACAAACTAAAATCTTATCCTATAATATTTTATTTATGATTGTTTCTAATAAAAATCCTTTTATATTTTTAAAATTATTATTGAAATGAGAATACAAAATTAACATTATTTAGATCAGTGACCTCCACTGCCAATCTCTACGCCATCAAAGTCTCTTTTCAAAAAATGCTTTAAGAACTATTCTTGAGCTCTGTGTGACCTACTTCTGTTTTCTAGTCTTAATCAGTCATTTTCTCATTTTATACTCAGTCTACTTATCTAAGTACTCATAGACTGTATAAAAGTCTTTTTACTTCTAGTGTTTTCTACTGTGATAGAAAGACATGATTAGTTGAAAATAAAGATACCATCCCAGCACCTACACCTCTAAAACATGGAGAGTGGCTTCAGGATTAGAAACGATGGCTTCAACGTGGTCTATCATCTACGTCTATTCCCTACAAGATAAACACCTCCTTTACCTTGGTGTTTTCTCCTTTTCGATGAGGGCTCATCTCTGTCAGAGTTCATGACGTAACGAGAGAGATGGAACCAGGATGTGTTGCTCAGATGGTCAGGTCTCCAATTATAGTACTGAAACTGAGTTCCAGACTCAAACAGAAAAGGTGGCCTACAGTTGAGTGAGAAATGCCTGCTACTGAAGTATGGGTAAGGCACGCGTGAGTAATGTCCTGGCCACCTCAGACAGCTGGAAATGTGTCTGCGCCAGCAGGACTTCTGCAGATCCTCCAACGGCGCACTCCAGTCTCGACCCAAACTCTTCAGAGGATAGGGAAACATGGAGAACCTAAAAGAGAAAAAGATACTCCTTGAGGTGCCACTTTTTGTTCAGCTATAGTACACAAAATCCAAGCCTATTTTCTCTAGGTGAGATATCATCTCATGTTTCACTTTACTTCTAACTCTGGGAAGGATCAAGGGAAAAACACCCATCTTTAACTATCAGCATTAATACTTCAATGTTCTCCCCTGAACAGTAGTGGAGAGTTTTCTAAATCCTCAACAAAAAAATAGCAGTTAGGCCGCCAAGGTACCACATAACCCCACTCCCAAAGTCAGCCCACAATCCAACCAAGAGGTTAATCCACTAACATACTAGTATGCAGAACAGACTTTGAGCACCAAAAACTCAACAAAAATAAGACCCAGAGCAAACATAACAGTTAAATAGCAGGATGTAAGAAAAAGTTTGTGTCTCCTTCCAATGAGAGTTTAGTGTAAAAACATGCTTTGGAATAGTATTTTTATAACAAAGTCAAATTCTTCCTAAACATTGGTCAAGCTAAAACAAAAATCTGTCATAGGGTTTTGGCTTTTCAAAGCTACTTCCCTTACTAACTAATGGGTGGATAACATGCGTTTCTGTCCTTTTCCTCTAAGCATACAGCCTCCTGGGGGAAACTAAAAAGCATACGGATTAGTTATAAAAATCTGCCTATACTCCAAACTGATACCACTGTTACCAATTCAAGCAAAGTACGCTAAGAGTGTTATTTCCTGTCTTTGTAGGTGCGTGTGCTCAGTATGTACAGCCCTGAGGCTCACACCAGGGGTCTATTGGTCTTCATCTTATATTTGGAGACAAGATCTCTGTTTGGCCTTGGGACAGCCCTGCCCCTGTCTCCCCAGCACGATGACAACTGTCCATGGGTGCTGGGGATTCCAAGGCCTTGTACAATAAGCACATGACCACCTGAGCTATCCTCCCACATCCCCAAGCTAGACATGTTGCTCTCAAGTTCTCAAAAAGCACCGACTCCTGACTGTATTATCTGACAAAATGTTAGGTTTCAGAGGGCTCTTTCCTAGGGTTTGTGTCTCAACATCTACAGTCACTAAGTTCTGCTTAAGTGGCATTAAGATTTTGTTATGTCGAATTTCTTTATTATACTACTTTTCAACAGAAAAAATATAGCTTGTATTATATATCTGAAACTTAAGTACTCTCAAACTACCCCCTAAATCAACCGGGACTGTAAATCTTTAAGGGCACAACATGGACACTTTATCTTCCAATTGACTCTGAAAGTCATTCAAAGGGATTTCAGCACCTGCATCTTGGTTTTTGTTTTGTTTTGTTTTAATTTTTTTTGAGGAGGTCCATGCCTTTGATCCCAGTGCTCAGGAGGCAGAAGTGGGCAGATCTAAGTTCAAGGCCAGCCTAGTCTATAGGATAGGTTCCAGGACAGCCAGAGATACACAAAGAAGCCTTTCTTTCTCTGTCTCTCTCTCTCTCTAAAAAGAAAAAGTCCAAGACCATTCAGTGCTAGTGTTGGTCTCTTAATCCTCCTGCCTCCACAGCCCCACCCCGACCCCTCACCCCGTGCTGGAGCTGTTTATTTTCTGTCTTGAAATGTTTCTATACTGCAACCTGAACTGTGACAATTATTCTTTGGTTTGACAGTTATTTACACCACATCTTTTTCTTGTAAAATAGTGAGCTTTTGAGGACGAGAACCTCTGTATTCTCTATAAGGCCAGTCTCCACCCAAAGGCCAAGCACACAGCTGGTACTCAGAAAATGCCATAGCATAAGAACCAAGAATGGAGTAGGCAGATCCTGAGGGCTTATGTAACGATAGTGTGCTATTTCCCATGAGTGGTTCGCTACATAGTTTCAAAGGTTATACAAACCTTTGGGGTCTTAGTATCTAAGTCCTTATAGTTTACAGGAGAAAACATAATCTGTACATCAAATCTAAGATTCGGTGGATACTACTTGGGTGACATTAGTGGATGCTGCATGTACTATGGCACTTTAAAATTTCCAGTGAGTTATTTTTTATTTTTGGAGGCAGAGTGTCACGCTAATCCAGGCCAGCCTCAAATTCATGGTTATCCTCCCGCCTCAGCCTTCGGAGTGTGGAGATTCCAGGCATGAGCCATCACGCCCGGCTCTCAGTGAATGGGTTTAGAGAAAAATACCCGGGATGGAGCAAGAACTTGAGTGGCGGTGAAAGTTAGCCTCCGCGTGACCGACGTGTGCGAGCCGCCGACGCTGCCCAGCCACCCCGGGGCGCGCAGCCTCCCTCCGGGCGGGGCCCCGCGCGC